TTTAGTATTGTATGTCTGGGTTTGTCTTTACTTTTATTTACTTTGGGGAAACACTTATTGTGTTTCCTTAATGTAAGGATACATGTCTTTCAAAAGTTCCAGGACATATCAGATATTTATATTGAATATTTTATTTTCCTCCATTCTCTACATTCTCCTATAACTACTAATAACATATATTGAACATTCACATTCTCTTCCTCATCTCTTCAAATATCTATTTTATCTTTTTGACATTTTCTCTGCTGTGTTTTGTGATTCTTACAGTTCATAAATTATATCACCAACTGTATCTAATCTGAATTTTTATTTCAATTTCTGCTTTTTTCATTTTATTAATTCAATTTATTTTTTCAAATACTCTTCTCAGGATTTAGAGAGTGTCTATACCTTTTCTGCATATTTTCTCTTCCCTCTTGTTAATCACTTCAATATGCTTTCTTTTTACTCAACATGATTATTATATTATTCAAAGTTTTAAAAATCTAATGCTGTTACTTTTTTGGATTTCTCTTATCTGAATGTTTTGTAATTTTTTAGTGTAATATCATAGTCTCTAAAATATTACCTACGGATGTAATGCTACCTAGATTGCAGGTATGTTGTGCTTCCAGAGGGCTATTTCATGCTTCTGAGAGAGCTGGGCATCCCAGGGTCTTTACTAACACTTAAAAATTATTCAAGACTTGGGATATACCTCAGTGGTAAAGGCTTGGGTTTGATCTCCAGCACTGCAAAAATTAAATAAAAAATAAAAATAAATTTTATTTTTTTCTTGAAAGATAAGCAAATGGTGAGATAAGAAAGAATTTCATCATCTTGCTATTAAAAATTTCACTTTCCTCCATCCGAATTGATTAGACAAATGAGTCTTGGGTGTTTCAACTTGCATCTTAAGAGGATATTAAGAAGAACTGCATATTATCAAGAACTACTGGAGCTGGTATTAGGTGTGTTATTGACAAATTATCTTATTTACAAAAGCCCCTTTTGCCCATCATGAGAAGGATTTATAGGTTAAAAGTGCAAGTAATGAATGCAAAATAAAGTTAATTTTACATGACAACTGAATTATTAAAGATGCAAAGTTAAGATTATGGAAAGAAGACCTAGTTTAATGCTTATCTCAAAATACAAACCACAATATATATTTAAGTCCCAAACATGATAATAAAATACATGTATAGTTTTATTATTTCAGTTTTGACTTTTGGAGATGTTTTTCAATGCTTATCTGTCCAACTAGAATTTAAGATCTATAAAAGCAAAGATTGTGACTTTTCTTTTTTATCTTAACTCATACAGTACTTCATATATTAATATTAGTAGGCATTATGCAAATATATTTTCAATGAATAAACAGATTAAAATAAATGAGTAAACAAAATACATTGGGTGTACTATTCCTTTTGTTTTGAAAATAACAAAACTTATGGGAACTTTTGAATACTAAGAAATTAAAACAATAGATACACAATGCTATGAAATGACTTTTGATACATGCATTAGATCCCTGTGGAAAGCTTTTCTGCAATTTACTTTGAGTTTTAGTCATCTAGGGTACACCACTAAATTTTTTGGGGGTAGTTTTATATACTTAAGCTTATTATCTATGATCCTCTCACTTTATTTGTACTTTCTGGATGATCTTCCTATTTAAATAATCTTAATGGCATTCTTTGAAATAAACCCCTTACATACCTTAAATTTTTCAACACTTACTGTTGTTTGTATTCATAATAGCTGCCATTCTGACTGGAATGAGATGAAATCTTACAGTAGTTTTGATTGGAAATGCAAATCAAAACTAATCTAAGATTTCATCTCACTCCAATCAGAATGGCAGCTATTATGAATACAAACAACAATAAGTGTTGTTGAGGATGTGGGGAAAAAGGTACACTCATACACTGCTGGTGGGACTGCAAATTGGTGCAGCCAATACGGGAAGCAGTATGGAGATTTCTTGGAAAATTGGGAATGGAACCACCATTTGACCCAGCTATCCCTCTCCTGGGTCTATACCCAAAGGATTTAAAAAGAGCACACTACAGGGACACTGCCACATCAATCTTTATAGCAGCACAATTCACAATAGCTAAACTGTGGAACCAACCTAGGTGCCCTTCAATAGATTAATGGATTAAAAAATGTGGCATATTTACACAATGGAATATTACTCAGCAATCAAAGAGAGTAAAATCATGACATTCGCAGGTAAATGGATGGAGTTAGAGAAGATAATGCTAAGTTAAGTTAGCCAATCCCAAAAATCCAAATGCCGAATGTTTTCTCTGATATAAGGAGGCTGATGATTCATAGTGGGGTAGGCAGTGGGAGCATGGGAGGAATAGACAAACTCTAGATAGGGCAGAGGGGTGGAAGGGGAAGGGAGAGGACATGGGTTAGAAATGATGGTGGGATGTGATGGACATTATTATCCAGAGTATATGTATGAAGACACTTATTGTTGTGAATATGCTTTGTATACAGATATATGAAAAATTGTGCTCTATATGTGTAATAAGAATTGTAATGCATTCTGTCATATTATACAAAAATTAAAAAAAATTTCAACACTATTTTGTCAGTGTCACTAATATTTTTGAGATGAACTGATTCTACCATAAAAATGTCATGAGGGAATAGAGTTTCATTTTTATATTTTGATTGAAATTATTGTCATTAACCAAATTTCAACACTTGCTTTTCAGGAAAATACACTAACAGAGCTTTGGACACATATGGAAAGCATATTTGTATGGGAATACACATATGGAAAGACTATTTGTAATAGTCATTTATCTATTATAATCATCCTCCAAGGTTTATATATTTCCAATTATATTTTCACTTGCAAGTCTTTAAAAGTGATGCTTTTTGTATTCATTTTTTTAAATTGAATGAGAGATAGGTTATATATAGTGAGATGTGCTTAGGGCTCTACAGCTGCTTAGAATTCTTCCTGTGTTGGTCCCTGAAGTATGATGTCAAGGTTGCACCTAAGTCAGACAGTCAGCATGAATTCAGGCTCAGTAAGTGAGAGACTGGCAAGTTAAAAGATGGACAATGAGAAAAGTATATGTCAAAAGAACTTTTGGAAACAAGAATGCTACTTCATACTGTATTAAAGTTGGCTTTGCCATCACTTGCTTCCTAAGCTAATGACAACATTTCTAAATTTTATAACAATATCACTAAAAGACCAAAAGGTAAATAGTCATTGGAAACCATTTGCTTTGAATTAAAGCATTAAAAAGTTTCATTTACAGATTGCATTTTTCTTGTTGATATGTTCATGTTACATGTCTGTTCTTGTAAAATGGAAAGCATTAAAATTCAAATTTTATAAAGCTTTTGAATGTAATTATTATCCCTGTTTTCAACCTCCCATGATAGATTTAACAAGTGATATCAAAGATTTTCCAAAAGTCAAATCTTATTCCCATAACACTAAATAAGTCTCCAAATATTTTGGTAATTGCTTTAAAAGTAAGTTACTTTTAATGTCACACATGGTTGTTGTACTAAATATAAATATGGATGAAATTTAATGATTTTTTAAAAAAATACCTTTTAACCCATTAAAAAATAAAATTACTTTTGATGCTTTGGGGGATTTTCCTTATACTGAACAAAATTTGATATTTGAAGTTTACCATCAAAAATGTAGCAATAATAGAAACCAAGTAAGAGAGTCTAGGATATTCAACAACAAAATTGAACAAGCTTTAAATTTGATATTGTGACACATTAAAATTAGCTCAAGATAGCAAAAAGTCAACCAAGGAAGACATGGGATATTTGGGGACTTTGGAAATACAACTACTATTTCTCATCCATTGCCTTTCAAAAGTTGTTTTGTGCAATTGTTTTATTATGATCACCTTAAAAGTAATATTTATTTTTGAAATTAACTTTTAAAAATAACTTAATAAAATCATATTGAGCAGAATTTTTGTTGTTTTTGTTCTGTGTATAGTCCTGAGGATTGCACAGGAGTTAGAACTTTTGCAAATATAAAGCAAAACCAATATGCTGATTAGAGATTCATAATAATTTACAATATTAATTTAATAAAATGCCTAGAACAATGTCTAGCAATTATTAACAAAACAATGAAGCTGTCTGCACTTAACACACGTAAGGCAAATGTTGAATTAAGGTAAAAATTATATGCAGTAAACTCATATCTGACATAATATACAATAAAATTAATATCCACACTGAAGGTCTAAAGTTATGACAATATGCTTCCTACAAACCTTCTATAATTTCCCAATTGGGTTGAGCACAGCTCATTGTGGCCTAATGTCAATTGGAATATTCAGACTATTTCTTAAAATAGAATGCTATAATTTCCCTACCATGCCATGTAAAATAATTTAATATATTCATTTTAACAAAAGGTTCAAACTACAGTGTGTTTGTTTTAAATTTTTAGTATTAACTCTGGTTCTTAACGATATCTACAGTTAACATTCTACTTTTCATGCTGTTCCTAAAAGGAACAATATCTTTACCCTGAAAGTGTTACTCTAATTCACCCCTAAAATTTACTTTATGTGAAAAAGTTTCATCATTCAAAAACCCTACTGTTTATATATATTGAGATTGATTCAACTACATTGGGTACAGATGTTGATATCAGACAAGCTGGGTTTCTACATCTAACTTTACACTGTGACCCTGGGAAGTGGCATAATGTATTGGTGCCTCAGGTCCTGACTACAAAATGAGAATGTTTCCAGAGTCCTCAACAGGAAGCATGAAGTTTAGAAGGAGCTAGTGTATGTGCCTAGCACAGGCTCAGAGTAGTGCAGAACTCTCCTGCTGTGAATGCCTTCTTCTCTCTTCTCCATTCCTGGCGTATCTTAGCTAATTGGAGATCAGTGAAAAAACAGTGGAAGTTACTGGAATAAATCAGCTCCACGCAGAGGCGCATCTACATTGCAGGCAATAGTTACACATTTCTAAAGTAACAGCCATTGAGATCAAAATGACATTTAAAAAAAAATGTATTTACACTTTACAATTTCTGTGTAGGGGAACGTCTTTTCAAGACAACAATGAGAGAAAGAACAAATTAGCTACGTCTGTGTGTATAGTTTAATTCTGTAAAAATAAAGAAATATACCCAATTTTATTAAACACTGAACATTCATGGACAGGTAACAGAAACAAAGTTATTTCATAGAGCAATCTACATCAACATCCCAAAACATCAAAATAGAGTTCTCTAAAGGAAAGAGTCTTTCTTTAATGGGGTTGATAATAATTAGAAGTTCCCATTATTTGTCCATGAATCCTAAGAACGGTGCTACTTCAAACAGGATTCTAGCAGAACTTGGCACAATAAATTTAACTTTTCAACCATCCCATTACTTTTTCACCATCTTGTGACTTCACTCACTCAGACAGTCTCACATATAAGTACATTAATATTAAAAACACACATGGCTGTAAAGCAGAAAACTCATTCTAAAATTACATTTTCTACAACAAAAGCAGGTCACCATATTTATGTCCAATGTCTCAATCACAGAAATGGATTTTCCTCACGGAGCTACTGATTCACATACACTATCAGGTTCAACATTTCAGAGTTGTGTTTCTAGGAGGATCTGTTTGATCATGTGCAAGAATTCTAAGGCATTATAAGAAGTTGTTCCACAGGACAAGGGCTTCCCAGGCAATGATATACTCTTGGTATATTTAACAAGTCTTTAGTCTTCAAATGCTAACAGCCAGACACAGGGAGACATTCATAGTCTACAGGTGGTTGGCTCAAAGGTCAAAATGTGTTTTAAAAAAATGTTTATGCAATAGCACCATAGGAAATCTTTCAGTAATGAATTCATTTTTTTCCCCAACATTGCATTTTTAAACTGAATTTCAGGAAGAGAGAGGGAGAGAGACAGAGAGAAAAAAAATAGAGTTTTCAATTCTCACAAGGCCTATTTCCACTTCATCTATTTTTTTTAAATACACTAACCATGACAATATCAACAATAATAACTACAACAATAATAGGTCAACAATGAAAAACAGACAATAGCAGCAGTAGTAACTTGAGTGTGGTCCATCCAGGCAGGCATCTAGAGGAATCCTGTGCACACCCCGGGGGAAGTTTTCTCATAAGGTTCGTAAGACATCACAGGCTTCTTGGATTTGGTGTGAAAAGGCAGCACTTACACAGAAGGAACTGAATTCACCAATTAACTGGGCATTTCCAGTAATTAAATAAATGATGATCAGCATTGGCTTTAATTGACACTACTTGACCTCTTACACTAGTCAAAATGTAAGAAAATGAAGTGGTCTCAAGATCATTTGTGTTTCAAAGAGGTTAAGCTGGCCTGCAAATGAAAATAATGAAGCTGAAATATTCCAGTTTCCAAACATCAGACAGACAGACAGACGCACACACATACACACACACACACACACACATACACACTTAAAGTACAAACCACCCTCAAAGACTCCCATTTCACATCAGCTCATATGGATCTGGTTTACATTGTATCCGTGATACAAAGTCAAAGCAATTATGCTAAGAAGAGGTTTTTCCAGTTTATGACCTGCAAGATCAGTCCCAAATCTTGAAAAATGGTCAAAAAGAACATTTGCAGAGTCACAGCCCCTGAATTGAACTGTCTGAATTGCGAGGCATCTGTTTCAAGCTGTGAACAGAAGCTTGTAGAGTCTCCCTTGAAGCACAAGATGCCCCTCAACCAGCTTTAACAGCACATCAAGCACGGAGTTCAAATATCCTCCTGTTGCTAAACAGGATTGGCTGGAAGCTTGTTTTCTAGTACAGAGATCATTCTGACCTTATAGTTTTCTTTTGTTCAAACTCATTATATAAAAACATTTGTGCTAATATCATCAGTTTTTTTAAAAAAAATATGTCTATGTCTTCTCTCCATCGTGCACAATCCTTTATGTTCTGACAGAGGTTTGGTGTTATTTTTTGGTATGTGTGGTTTCTGGATATCTTATGCTTTTGTATCTTACATAAAATCCTTTCTTGTTGATTGTGTCATCCGTGTGAAAATGAATTAAAATGGCATCCCCAATTGAATAGATTTCTTCTGGTGGCTGAAAGAAAACAAAACAACAACAGAATGAGTTGCTTTTTCTTCATGGCAGTGCATGTTTGAGCATGTTTTTCTTTGGCATATAATTCCACCCTCTCAACAACCTTGACAAATCAATATGATTGACTGCTTCCTTTTACAGATGAGGAAACTTGAGACTGAGAAAAGACAATGTTATGCTAGACATCAAAAGGCTAGTCAATGCTATAGCTGGGCTTCAAACCTGCATGAGCCTGTTTCTACTTTCCTTTCTAGATTTGTATTTCTCCCCCAAACCCTTAAGGCAAGTTTTTTTTTAAAATTTATATATATAAAAGAGAGGTCAGAAAAGGTAAAGGGATGTTAAATTTGTTTCACAAATTACTGAGGCAAAGCCACTCTACAATTGAAATCTTCAATTAATTTTTGCTTTAATAATTTAAGTAGCAATAAATTTCTTTTTTCTTTATTTCAGTTGTTATTTGGGCAAAAGTTCAACAGTATTACTTAGGCAATACATACTGGCAGACATTCAAAAAATTGGGACTAATATCTTCACAACAGAATATGTATTCAGAAGACTATTCAATATTAATTCAGTGCATCCCAGGAAAGAAGCATTGAGAAAACCTTAATCTTCATTTTTTTGGTTCTCATTTCTCATGGTGACCTTTTCTAGCCTGTTTCTGGCACTCTGCACTTGTACATGAGACACTGTGAAAAGAACAATATTCCTATAGCATAGACTGAGCCAACATACCAGCAGCTGACCCTGCCACTCCCACCAAGAATATCAGCTGAAAAGGGAATGTCAATTAGAATGATGTGCATATTCTTTCTGTTAATGCTTTAATTGAGGAAGGTGATGAAATCAAGTTTATGTATTTAAGCTTACTGCATTTAGATTATTATTTAAATGCTTATTGTCCAATAAAAAGCTAGAACATGCTTTGAGATTATTGAGTATTTAAATACTTATTGTACAATAAAAAGTTAGAACATGGAAGTAACCAGAAAGTATAACTACTAAATTCATCTGCTTGGCTAATATAATCAGGCAAATTCATCAGGAGTGGAAAAGTGGGAGGGTGGAAGAGGCACATTCATTATATTTCTTCAAGCCATTAATAATATAACTTTTTGCACAAATATTGCAAATTGTAAATATTACACACAGCAATCATCAATTAATAGGCTTTTTTAGTTTTGTCTACAGTATCCCCTTGGTGGTGTACTTACCCCAGATCCACAGAATCGACCAAGTCCCACTGCTGTGGAATCTAGACCATCAAAGAGCTCAACATAGTCATAGCCACAGTCAGCTTCTTCTTCCACTTCAAAGGTCTGGAAGGACAATTCAAGTCGAGAGCCTCGTTCTGACACTAACAACCACTCACAGTCCACCTGTCCTGGGTAGTTGTTATCTCCAAACTGTGCGTGTGAGTATAGCTCTCTGGGTTTGGGTTCTGCTTTCAATCGTCCACCACACTCTACCAGGAAAGAAAAAGGGATTAGAAAAATGAGCTTCAACGGGTCCAATTTCAACTTCAGTGTATTCTGACATTCTCCAACTTCTGTTTCCATTTCCAGGATCAGATGTAATTTCCACAACCCAAGAGCCTAAGTACAAAGACGGGGGCACAGGCTGCCAAAGTTGGAATGTCAGCTCCAACACCTACAAAGTCTGTGACCTGGTCAGTTTTGTCCCTTCTCTGAGACACTGTTTTCTCAAGGGTAAAATACAGATGATAATAAAGGCACCAATGTTAATGTGTTTTTAGGATTTATACATAAAATCTTTTCAAAGACTACCTGTCACATAATAACTCTCAATAATTCTGTTATTACACCTAATAGTTTTTAGTCTCAAGTAACTCTTTTTATGGTTAAAACAAACAAACAAACAAACAAACAGGGTCTTAACCTGAATTTAACCTTAATAATGTCAGAACCCAGAATCTAGAATAAGAAATAACCTAAAATTCAACAGAATATATAAAATTCGTGTGTGTGCGCGCGCGCATTAATAAAAATTCTACACAACATATATAGCACCATATTATTTTACTGTTAGAAATATTTATCTAACTTGATCCAGAAAAACACAGGCATAATTAATTATACTTATCTTTGAAATTCCAGAACCAATTCAGTTACAGTTGGTTTGCTTGCTATAATGAAATATTTTAAATGCTCCTTTTGGCTTCTTTTTTAGAGAGATATTAATAAGCATATGATTTTCCAGTTATTAACTTTGACACAAGAGGAAAATACATCAAAGAAATAAGTCAGTGAACATACAAACTTTTAGCTTGTTTTAGAAGGTAAGAGGTTTATAAAAATGTTCTCAGTAATCTTTAGTAGTTAGAAGCCCAAACTTTATAACTAGAGATTAAGCAGAGGCCATGGGAGGCCACAGTGCCCACCGACACATGCCAACCTGAAAGGGAAGGGAGGAAAAAAACAGGCTCAGAAAAATGTCAGAAGAAAGATCTTCTGTCTGTTCCTGTTTCCAAAGACTAAAAGGGTTGTTCCTGGGAAGTAGGAATTTCAGTAATAAAACTAGGGAAGACCCAGGAAATATCCCATATGGGAGGATCTGGAGAAGCTAAACCACAGGGTACCAGAACACATAGTTGGGCCAGATAGTCCTTAGTGAAGATGGATCGGGCAGATGAATTCTTACTTGGATTTTCCATTTTTATATATGTATGGTTACCTATATAGTGCTTTGGTGATTTTAAATAACAATATATTTTTGAATTCTAAGGCATGAATACCCAGTCAGCCAGGTTTACATGCACTGAAGGGCATTGTCACAGACAACTGCTCCTTCAGGGACCTTCTTGTGAATAAATTCTGAAACAACTTCCAACTGGGTTTCTAATCACAAGCATGCCTGTCGGGGAAGGTGGCTACAGTCAGTCTAACTGTGCCTCTGTCTTGCAAATGATAAGTGGCCCATCTTGCACTATCTATTGACATAGTGCTATTGTTACAAATGTATACACTCGAAGAAAGGCATCTTTGAACTACTCCTGAAGGTTGGAATTCTGATCACTTTGGGGATTTCATGTCCCTTGTCTCGCAAACTGGAAGCCAAGAATCCTCCCTTTTCCAACACAATGTTTTTCTTATCCCAGGAACTCCATAAATAATTATTCTCTTCCTGTGACAGACTTCCACAGTCAAACTGCCCAGATACAAATCCACACTTGGCCTACTTTGTCCCACAACTTCATTTGTAATTTTATTCTTTGTTTTGAAAGATGGTTAGCACTGGGATTCAAATCCAGGGCCTTGCACATGCTAAGCGTGTGTCCTACTATTGAGCTAGCTCTATCCTCTCACAACTTCACTTTTAAAATGGAGATCATACATAGTACACGCATGTATGCGTGGATTTATATTTGTAAATGCTTGGATGGTGTCTGGCACACAGTTAAAAGTAATTGATATTTTAAGCTATCATCATCATCACTATTTTTTTTTTGGTAAGAACATTTAAATGCTATCATCTGTAAACTGAGATCAATTCAGGTATGAAATGAAAAGTCACAAATATTGACCAACAATTCAAAACACGATTAATCTGCTATCAGAAAAGAAAAATTATATTTTTGCAGGCCAGTAAAACCATTTTGTGAAAAATATTTCTGAATTCAATACGAAAATACGTCAACCAGCTTGTAATCTCATTTGTAGGTTTTTTAAAAAATTTCTACCTATTCTCCAAGTTCAGTATAATTGACAGGTCTCTTTTGTCTTGCAGGGTTAGCATTTGCACTGCTTTCACTAAACTGCCCAGGAAGAACTGAAGGGAGCACCAGGAGATGTGGAGGAGGCCCTTGTTTGTGTGTGCCTGCTTCCTAGAAACAAGGTAGGGAAACAAAAGCATCCAAAAGAGGCAGTCCTCTGCCAGCCCCAGCCTGGAACAGAACTCAAGAAGGAAGCAAGCAGTGGAACAAAACGGGGAAAGAGGTTTCCCCAAGTCTTCATGAACCTAAAAATCACAGGAAGGTGTCATTACTCCATTTGACTGAAAACTGGCCTGCCTTGGGGGAAATAAAAAAATAAAAATGCCTTAAACTACACTTAAGGATATTTTTAAATGCTGCACTAAGTTCCCTTTTCATCTGTTTCAGTGCTCAATACCACGGATCACTGCTATACTAATAAATCTGAAAATAATGTTCTTACCATAAAAAGAGAGAGAGAATTTAGCCTAGAATTTAGCCTAGATGATGAACATTTGAAGGATGAATATGTGAACATTATGTGCACAAGATGTGTGATTTTAATACGTCCTGAGAGAAAGTCCATGATAGGCAGCCTGAGGGCAACTGCTTGAGTGTTTTATTTATTATTTTTTTAAGAGTCCCCATGGCTATTCAAACTCTGGTCAACAGCATTTAACAGGTCCCTTGAAAAGATGATTTTTAAATAGAGTCAACAAATTTTTGGCGAATATCCCTATTCATTTATCAAGTCAGAAAAACCTAAAACCAGTTGTTCAGTATGTCAGCAATATTTTTTTTTGAATCAATACTTTGAAAGTACTTTACGAGCTGCCAGAGAGAGAGTCTTTCACAAAGTTCTGGGAAATGGAATTGGAGCTGAATAAGAAAGATAACTGGAAGAGAAGCCAAGGGGTGGGCTTCGTTTTAATTTGGAAAGATGTGTTTACTTCCTGGTAAAGTATTACATTAAAGAAGAGGTGCTGTAATTTGACCTACAAATGCTTTTAGTGAGCATTCTAATTGAATTGATTTTGATCAAAATAATTTCCAAGGAGCATAATCATACATTATTGGATTTTTAAATGTCATTGACAAATAATATGATGCTTTATACTACAAAAACGACATTTTCTCTCCAAGTTTCTCCCCTCTGAGAGAAGAGTATTTCTTACTTCAAAATTTGTTTCTTTCAGTTAGTTTGATTTAGGCTGGAATAATACCAGTTGTTACCTGATTAAAACAAACTTGGACTGAAAATCTGAACCAACTGTCAGAGGAAACAAGAACTCTCACCAATAAAGTTCATTTTTCATGGACTTGGGTAGTATAACTTATGAAAAAGTAGCCACAAAGCTATGTTAGAGCAATATTTCTAATTGCCTGGTTTTAAAAGTTACAGTATTAGAAGTTTTTATTGCAGATCAAATTGAAATTGTACACAGAAGTTTAAGTAAATTAAAGTGTATACTTGAGGACTTGTCTATAGCAGTTACATGTATTCTAGAAGGCAGGACATAATACAAAAATGCTTTATACATGAAGCAAAAGTTGACAGATATGGTACTGGACTGGGCTGTCTTGTCAGCAAAAACTTAAACAGAAACCCAGAAACTCAATTTAGACTACAAGCTGTCCACAGACAGGAATTTCTTATATTGTCCTTACCACAGATTTCTGATTTTTTCCTATAAAATATGAACATGGCACATTGTCTAGTCAAAGCAAAGGCAAAAAAAAAAAAAAAAACATTGTTGAAAGATTACAAAATAAGTAAACTTGGAAGATGTAAGCATCAGACAGTATAGTCAGAATATTTGGCACGTATACAGCACCCAGAAAATTCTAAGATAGCTAGCTAAATGAGAAGAAAACTTAAAAAATAACAAAATATAATTAATCATGCAACTTTTGAGTTTCTTCATAGAAAAATAATAATAGTCATGGAATTTTACAGCTGTAAAAAATCTTTAGATTATTATTCCACAGATGATGAAACTGAGATTCAAAGAAATGACCTTTTCCAAAGTTCCCTGCCAGGTAAGTCATACTTTGACCAGGACCCAAAGGTATTGACACACTGGAACATAATTTAAGGTCAATCCTCCCAATTTATAAAGGATAAAAGGAAAAACTGTAAAAGTAAGATTTTATAAAACTGAAAAAAGAAATGTTTATAAACAGGCAATTTTGAATTTCTTTATCATTAGTTATTTCAATAATTTTTGACAGCATATTTTATACTATATTCATAGAAACTGATGGGCAGGATTTTTTTTTAAGTGGCATGAACTTTATGTTTTCAAAAATACTGATGAGCCAAGCACAGAGGCACATGCCTTTAATCCCAGCTACTCAGATAGTGAGTTCAAAGCCAGCCTCATCAAAAGCCAAAAGCGAGGTATTAAGCCACTCAGTGAGATCCTGTCTCTAAATAAAATATAAAATAGGGTTGGGGATGTGGCTCAGTGGTCGAGTGCCCCTGAGTTCAATCCCCAGTACACCCCCTCCAATATTGATAAAATAATAGGATTCAAACCTTTTAAAAACTATGCTTGTTAACGAGTATTAAATAAGTCATCAGAAATATGTTTAAACAAAAATGTCAAATAGATGGAAAATCCTTAATATGAAATTGCCACAGTTCATAAGAGATTTTTCTCAAACCATATTTATATTAATACATGAGAAATAATTAATTTGTATTATTTGTAGAGGTCCAATAATATCAGCATAAATGATATTTACTTTCTCATAGACTTCAACATAAATGTAGTGCTCACAATAAAATAGACTAAAAAATAATATCAGACAATGAAAACAAATCTCTAAATCAAAGAGAAACAAAGAAAATAGAACATAATTTCATTGAAATTATTTCACAGCACATTATTATTTTATATTATTAATATTTGTATATTATTAATTGTTTTATACAAAGTCTCTTCTGGAAATGTGTCAATTGTTTGTGCATTGTCAATGCCACTAGGTGTCACTATAAGCTAAATGACTTCAGGAAATAGCTACAATTTTTTAAAAAATCTTTTTGTCAAACTGAATGAAAATAAAGGATATTCCCTAGACAATTTCTGAAACATATAATTAAATTGTATTCATACCACAAGCAATTTTATTATAAAATTTTGCCTCAAATTTCTATTTTTCTCTTAAGAAAAATACAGTTGAAATTCAATCTCTGAAACTCAAATTATGAGTTTAGAATTAGGGAGGAAATCATGTTGTGTAACAAATAAAAGAAAAAAATGGACTTCATCAAACACAGATAATCCCATACTTATTTACAAAAACATATTAATACAAAAGTAGCTAAACTGGTGTGTTATTAGACACTGTATGAATTTTCAATACCAAGCTACAGATTTCTGTAAGCAGTAACACATAAGTCAAATTACTAAATTTAACATGAAGTTCATTATACAAATATTTAGAGTTAGTTCTACTTTACTGTACTATATTAATCAAAAATCAAACTGAACATTTTTTTCTTCTAAGATATTTAAGTAGGGTACTGAGTGATTCTTGCAAAAAAATTCACATAGTACTTTTGAGATTTTTCTGTGCTTTGCATGGAGATTCATTTACAGTCCTATTAATGAAATACACATATTCACCAGAAAAGAAACCTGGGTCTTTGTCAGACAAGAGAAGCACAATCCTAATTTGCTGACCTGTAGAATGTGTTGCTTGAAAGCCTTTTCTTTGAACAGATGCATCAGAAATAAACCGAACAAACATTTTATTTCCAGTAGCCACAAGGGGATCTGGTATCTTGTTGCCACATAGTCGTCCAAGAATTGGGGACTTTTCTGTTTCTCCATCAAATACTTCTAAGTGATCATAAGCACATTCTTGATGCTGTTCAATCTCAAACTCACTAAAGGCCTATTTAAAAAAGAAAGAAAAAATTTTATAAAACCACAAATCACTCAAACTGAGTTCTTGTCTTTGGAACTAAAATACATATGAATAAAATATGTTCAGGGCATACAAATGAGTCAATCCATAAAGCACATTATTCAAAGGACTATGAAATCAATAGAATATGTAATCTCTAGGAAAGAACATAATGAGTCCAATAATATAACTGTGTATGAGAGTTTGAATCTTGAATGTTCAAAGGAACAACCATGTATTAAAGGTTTAGCCCTTAGTGTAGCACTATTGGGAACTATTGGAACCTTTAGAGACTGGGCCTTGTGGGAGGTGTTAGTTTCACTTGGAGACCTTCCCTAAGAGTAGATTGTAGGAACTTAGCCTCTTCTCACTCTTATTAGTTGGCTATGGGGTGATTGGTTTTACTCTACTGTCTACTGCTGCCCATGGTGTGTCACCTTACCATATGCACAAAAGCAACAGAGCCAATTGACCAGAGACTCTAAAACTGAGTTAAAATAAGCATTGTTTCTTTACAGGTTGACTCTCTTGATCATTTTTATAGTAATGGAAAGCTGAATAATACAATGTGAAATTCTATTTTGCAAGTATTGCAAATAATTCTACAATTATAAATAAATCTTCATCTACACAGAATTGAAACAGTTTATAATAACAAAGTGGTATTTTATGCTAAATTTAATCCAAAGGATACATCAGAAAATTTTATGCAATTGTGTTAAAACATTGATCACTTCTGGTTTTGATGATTGTAAGCTTGTGAACATTATCCTACCTTTGGACATGTAAGCCCATAAGAAAGTCCCATAACTGTTACCTTTTCACAAAATTTTAATGCAATAAATCTTGATAGAATAACTAAAACAAAGGGAATTTTTACTATATATTTCTTATTTAGATCTTACAAACCATAGTATTAAAAAACACTAATGTTTCTATAAGGCTAGAATAAATTTAATTCACTTTTCAGGTAGATGGCATACTTATTTTACTATCTGGTATGCTAGAAAGTTTGGTATGCTTTGCTATTACTTGTATGATTTACAAATTCTTATTTTTCTATGCAGTGATATTTATGTGTGAGTTTTAGCAAATTTAAAATTAAAATTCACTAAATACATATATACAATACATTAGAAATCGTCAAGCAAAGTTTACTTGAGATGGATTAAAAATAAAATTGCCCAAGCTATTCATTTAACTTCAGGAATTACAGGTTATTTACTGATGCCAATTAAGGCTTGTTTCTTTCCCTGGCGAAAAAACATCATATGGTGAATAAGTAAACCATCATTCTTACTTAAGTCTATAAAGCAAAGCTAAAAAATATGAAGAAAATAAAACAAAGAAATACAAAATATGCTTCTAACTTTATTAATTTTGCTATAATTACCAAATACAATATTTGAACAACAAACTTTTGAAATATGTTTTACTTAATGAAATTTTGTGTAGTGGTCCTATTTTAAGTCTAATGGATGATAGTCAAAACAATTGGCTCTCAGTGCTGATTTATTTCACATCACATCATACCACCTGTCACATCTGACTTTGGAGGAGTAAGGGAAGTAATGAAAGAAGCATTTGGTGTTAACTAGGGAGTAGGAGAAAGTAATGAGGTTGCTTAAAGAAGCGAGCAAAGGAAAGGAAGAGGACTGATCTCTTTTATGAATTCAACTTGAAAAATATAAATAAACCTGTAGCCAATAAACATTAGAAGTCATTATTAGATGTAATTTATTATGGGCAAAAAGGAATGCTCAGTTCATTTCACCAAAAGGACTGGAGAGAGCAAAAAAAGATTAAAAGTAACACAAAGATTCTCACTGGAAACAAAAAACTAACAAGTAAAACAGTAAGTAAGAAAACTGCAGCAGTGTTCATTACTCTGAAGCACAATATGCAAAGCAGGTGATCCCTGAAGGAGTTCATTTTATTAATTTATTAATAATCTCCAATTTCTGTAATCTCCAATTTCTCCAATCTGTTAGACTGGAGTTTATTAATGAATTAATAATCTCCAATTCCTGTAATCTCCAATTTCTTCAATCTGTTAGACTGGAGTACAGTAGACACTGGACAGGGGCTGCAGAAGATCATGAATGGATGTCTGGATGTCTCGAGCAGTATGTCAGTCAATTACTTCTCCACCCATCTTATGTTTATAGAAAACTTTGTAGGAAAATGTTGTAGACGTGGCCAACCAAACTTTCTGGTTTTCTGTTTCTCATGAGAGGGTACTCAATCAGTTCCAGTTACCACATTTTTAAAAATATACTAAAGAATAAAGCTAGGGGCCATATCCACAGCTTTTTTTTTCTTTTTATTCTGAAACAGGGTCTTGTAAAATTGTTGAGAATGGCCTCAAACTTGGGGTCCTCCTGCCTTAGCCTCGTGAATCATTGGGATTACAGGCATGCACCAATACAACTGGCTTACATGCACATTCTGGTGTCAATTTAAAAGTAGTAAGAAACCACTTTGAGAAAATTGACTCAACTGCACCCATTTACTTCTTTATTACATATGAAACCAAGTCTCTGAATTAAAAGAATAATGTCATTTAAGAGGATAAAACATTGTTTCAGGAAAACAACAGTATTTGAAAATCATTGCATGTTGAGTAATCATCTCTTTTGATTGTTGTATTGTTTTGATTTATTTAATGAAATTTTGTGTTGTGGTCCTATTTTCAGTCTATTGAAGACAGTCATAACAATTGACTCTCAGTGCTGATTTATGCCACATCACATCATACCACCTACTGTCCCAACTGACTTTAGAGGAGTAGGGGAAGTAATGAAAGAAGCATGTAATATTAACTAGGGAGTAGGAGAAAATAATGAGTCCACAATAATAATGTATGATACATGATTTCTTAACCTTATTTGGTGATAGAAAAGAACATGTTATAGAAAGAACATGGAAACCTACTATACAGACAAGAACATTCTAAGAAGGATGGGGATAATGCTGTTCTAAAGTATAATCCCATAAATAGTTTACTAAATGTGCCTCTGCATTTGCAGACCACACATGTTCAACCCATTCGCTGGGCCATTGGAAACTAAGTGAATGAGATGAATAAGCAACTATTTCACTCTCTAATGAAATGCAGGATGTCTGGAGTAAATAACAACATCTGTTTAAAATAATGGAGCAACACCACACAAGGTGGCATTGAGCTGGGCTGTGGGCCATACTGACACCTGGTCTGGAGCCAAATAGCTGCAGCTTCCTATCAAATTACTAATGGAATCAGATTGAGTCTACAAGAGTTAAATTAGCCAAAGATTCCATAGCTGACATATGCTCAAGTGATACAAACAATGTTTATTCATTAACGTATTAGTGAATTTTCCTCTTGGGATAGGTAGCAGCTTGTTCTGTCAAGTGCAAAGATTTGTGTGCACCTTTTCCAGAAGTCAGCCTGACCTAAAATGCCACCACACACAATCAGAGGCTTGCCTAACTCACATGCTGATGTCTCATAAATCTGGTCCTATGCCACAGAAACACCCACATACAGAGTACTCCATATATAATGACTTCACCTTAATTAAAAAAATACCTCTAGGCCACAGAAAAGTATTTTCAGGAGCCCTTGGGAAACTGTATTATTTTGTAGTCCACAATGATAATGTTTGACACACAGTTTATTAACCTTATTTTGTGACACATGATGAACTATGAATCTCTAAATGTTATAGAATTTGAAATTTTCCAGCTACCAGGAGGAGACCTAGTTCAGAAGACACTCAGATTCCCAAAAGGTCCTTCAGGTAACAATGGGGACAGTATAGCCCACAAGGTTGAATGTATGTAGCTGTAAGGAATTCTGACTTCTGACAAAACATCTCCTCCCTGCCATTATTTACTTAAGTATTCTATTCTTAAGCATTCAAATTAAGACTTCATAAGCATTTGGGCATCAAAATTTTAAAGCACATGCATTCCATCATTATATTTCCATGATTTTAGGGTTACTAATTAGGGTTTTAGGGTTAAACACAGCAGATAATGATGAGCTCTAGTCAGAAATTCTAATGTATTTCCCATAAGGCAAACTAAGAGGTTAAGAGTCCAATTCAAAAATAAAATAAAATCCAACTTTTATTATAGGCTACGGAAATAATAACTCTCTTTCTGGAACACCCATGCATGCCTAATCTACCTGGATGGCCACTGGTCAAGCTTCCATATGCTCTCTGGTCATATGAGCATCTGTAAAGATTCTTTTATTGAAAATCCAGGCATTAGTTAAAGGAAGAGGCCATGAAGAATAACTAATATATTCACAAAGGTAGAGATAATAAAATGATTGCATATAATGCAGAAATAAAATTTACCTAGATTGAACATTTAAACTCAGAGAATTAAAGATATGACGCAATTTGAGCAGTGGCGAGATAAGCTTTAGAGCTCTTAGTACCAGACATCTTTCACCTTTTCCTGTTTTTTGGTACGAACTGTCATTTGGTTTCCCACAAGATATTTGAAGGATTAGAGGCCACTGGAAAAAACAGCAGACTGGAATATAAACCCCAATCTTCTGATTCAAAAAGCCCCCATTATTTTCCACAAATCTTCTATAACTATGATTAAATATACTTCTTATGGATTTATAGTAGAGAGTTATATGAGAGTTGTAGATGACTTGCTTTTTAAATATTCCATATGTGAAACTGTACACTGCAAGTGTATGTTACTTAGCAAAACTCTAAGATATGATAAATCACATAAAACTACACAAGCACATTAGTCTATTGCCAGATGATCCTAGCCTAAAACTTTGTTTTTGTTTTCATTTTTAATGAAGATTAGTTTAAAATATAAAAACAGTTGCCAAAAACTTAAAAGATTGTTTGAATCTCTCAAAAATCAAGATAGGATAAATCCAGGAATATATAGATTGTTGTTCTTATTCATTCAGAACTTTATTTCTTTTATAGTAGGAAGAATTTTTTTCAGCCATCTTTTGATTAACTACTTTTGATCGTACTGAAAAATTATCATGTAGTTATCATTTTATGACTGAATACATAAACACACATTATATTCAGGATTATTATATCTATTTCCTGTCACTGCTGCAGTCAATTACCACAAACTTAATGACTTAGAATGGCACAGACATATTCTCCTACTATCTTGGAGGTCAGTAGTCTAAAATGGGTAGAAAGGCCTTTCTTTCTAGAAATCCTGGGTGACAATTAGTTTCCCCCAATTTTTCAGCCTTTAGAGAGGTCTGCCTTTCTTAGCTCATACCCCCTTGCTCCAGCTTCAAAATCTGTAATGTAGCATCTTCTCTACTCTCTGATATCCTACCTCCTTCTTATAAAGACCCTGTATCCAGATGACCTCCCCATTTGAGATCCTTAACTTCATCACATCTACAAAGTCCCATTTGCCATGAAAGGTTCTGGGAATTAAAACATGGACATCTTTGGGGAGTCATTATTCTGCCTTCCACAGAGCATAAAGACTAAATGTTTTTATCCTCCCAGTTCTTGTAATTTTTTTTTTCAGAGAAAGTTAACACAAACACTTATCAGTCTGATTACAAATTCTTTTTCCTGACTTTCTTTAATTCTTAACTCTGGGGAACACAAGCTATATCCCTATGGAACAAATCTGACCTACAGTCTGTTTTAAGATAATCTTTATTGGTAAACAAGAGAATACATTCTTTATATATTTTCCGTGGTTGTTTTCACACTAAAACATCAATATTAAGTTGTTGCAACACAGATTGTATAGTCTACAAATGTTGTTACATTTTTCTACCTGACCCTCTAAATAAGAATCTTTCTGAAAAGGGAGCATTAGCAACATTTTCATTTGTTAAGACTGAATTTCATATTCATAAGGCTATGCAAAAGGCTAATAATCCTGATAAACATAGATGTTAAAAATTCTCAATAAAATACTAGTAATATAATTCAACAAATTAAAAAGATCATTGACCATGATCAAGTAGAATTCATCCCCCAATAATGCAGGGATACTGCAATATATGCATATAATAGTTGTCATACATCACATTAACATAATAAAGGACAAAAACCAGATGATTATTTCAATAGATACATAGAAAACATTTAACAAAATTTCACAGTTTTCATAATGAAACTCAACAAAATATTACAGAAGAAATCTATATCAATAAATAAAAATCATATATGATAAACCCATAGCCAGCATAATACTCAGGAGAAAAAAATTAGAAACTTTTCCTGTAAGATCTGAGATAAGACGCAGATGCCACTTTTGCCACCTCTTCTCACTATAATACTGGAGGCCCTAGCCAGAGTGATAAAATATGAGAAAGAAATAAAAGGCATACATATAACAAAGAAAGAAGTGAAACTGTCCCTGTTTGTAGATGATGTGGTCTTATATTAAAACAAAACAAAACAAAAATAAACAAAGAAAACCCTAAAGACTAAAACTGTTAGGCTAATTAATTCTCTGGAATTTTAGTGTACAAAAATCAATATATAAGTATCAAGAGCATTTTTATACATACTAACAGGAAATTATCTTATTTACAATAGCTACAAATACAACACTTGGGAATAAATTTAACCAAGAAGGTGAAAGATGTCTATACTGAAAATTATAATACACTGCTGAAAGAAATTGAAGAAGATACCAATAAATGAAAAGATATCCCATGTTCATGGAATGAAAGTTAATATTGTTAAAATATCCATGTTAGCCAAAGCAATCTACATATTCAAAAAATTCTATCAAATATCAAATAACATTCTTCACACAAATTAGCAAAAACAATTCTAAAAATTGTATGGAATCAGAAGAGACCCCAAATACCCAAAGCAATTTGAGTAAGAACAACAAAGTTGGAGACATTGCACTACTTGGCTTCAACACACACCCCAAAGCTGTAGCATTCAGAATAGCATGGTATTGGCACAAAAACAGACACATGGATCAATGAAACAGAATTGGGAGCTCAGAAATAAATCCACTAATTTACAGCAAACTGAGCTTTGATGCAAGTGCTGCAGACACAAAATGGGGAAAGTATGATCTCGTCAATAAATTTTGTTGGGGAAACCAGATATCCACATGCAGGGGAATGAAAGTGGACCCTTCTCTCATGCCAAATACTAAAATCAACTCAAAATAAAAATGAATTAAAGACAAATGTAAGACCTACAACTGTGAAACTGACAGATAAAAACAAGGGGAAAACTCGATGGCAGATAATCTCTTCTCTGAAATTAAGACAGTGTTCACCAATCATACAAAGAACATTTTGCTAAAATATTTTATTTCTTGGATTGACTGTATTTGTGACTATACATAGAGCTAAGACTTGTAGGGAGGTAATTTAGGGTTAAATTAATTTGAAGGAGTAGAGCTTTAATCCTATAGAGCTGGTGTCCTCATAAGAAGAGTAAGAAAAACTAAAATCCTTTCCTTACACATGCATAAAAAGAAAAGGGGAACAGGAAAAAAGAAGCGCCCCCCCAAACACCAACCCTATAGGCAATTTCTGATCTCCAGAACTGTGAGAAAATAAGTTTCTGTCATTTAAGCCACTCTGTCTACTGTAGCCCAAATTGACCAACATGGATGGAACCTATAACAGTGAATTAAATGGGAATACCAGAAAGATGAATAAAAACAAGCTAAAAGAGAGTGCTTTTAAAAAGTTTCATAGAGATTCAAGATAGCTGAAGAAACAATCACTGAACTTGAAGAAACATCAATTGGAATTACTGAAACTTAAAACAAGTGACAAAAATTAATACAATATGCAAGTGTTGTTGGAAGATATCAAACATTTACTTTGAATCTGGAAGAAGAGACACAATGGTGCAGAAGAATGCTGTAAAACTTTTGAAAATAATGACAGACACCACAGGAATTTCAAGAATGCAGAAATTGTAGAGAATTTTGAGAAGGTGACTTTTAGAAAATTACTAAACAGACACATATCTATGAACACACCATAAACACACATAGACACATTATATTCAAACTTCTAATAAAAAGAAAAAATGGAAGGTATCCATAGACAAAATTATTCTTTACACAGAATAAAGATAAAATTTACAAATTATTGGAAACTTTGAAAGCCTGAAAATCCCATTGGAGTAAAGTGTTTGAAGTGCAAAAATAAAAATAAAATAGTCATCCTAGAATTCTACACTCAATGAAATATCTTCCAAAAGTGATACTGTATATCTTCTCCAAACAACATAAGAGGAAATTCTTCAGAATGTTCTGAAAAAAATATGATCTACATAAATCCATGCAATCAGGAAAATCCATTTTTCCAAACTGAATTAGCTGGCTGCATTGCTGAATACATGCAGCCTCCACATTTCAGCCCATAAGGTTCAGAGAATTGTCCTCTCAATCAGGACCTTGGACAGGACTAGAAAGCAATGGAGTTCCTACAGCGCTATCATCTCAGCATTTAGCTGAGAGGAATGGAGTTCCCTCCATTTGCTGTATTTGTGAGTGATTTTTCAGACAGAGACACTAGTTCATTTCAGTCACAAATACAGCAAATGGATGGATGGAAATCCATACTAGGGATATGAATGTCTTGTTGCTGTCTCTGATTTTATCATAATGCCACATTTGAATAAAGCCTCTTTTATTAGCTAATAAAATAAAATGAAATGAAATAAATTCACTGAACGGGAAGATCCAAACAGGGAAATTACAAATTAACCTTATGGCTCAAATGCTCCAGGGAACTACTTGGGATTGGTAGCCTCTTTCCTAAAATATTTTTTGTTCATTACAATAGTGCTTCCTACAGTATGTCCTGATCCTTGCTAGCTAGCACATTCCTTGGCTTCCAAAAACAGCATCTTGTTGGAAATCATTTAATTTTCTATATTTCCATTATTTTATTTCTTTAAAGTACATAATTTATAGATTCTGTAATCTATAATGAAATATTTACTATCAGACAACCAGATTAGAATGCAACATTTAAAAAATGCAGAAGGGAAGACAAATTTTGTGTTCATATTTAAATGACTCACATAGAATAACATGTGAGAAAAATATAATACCAGTGTCTTATTAGAGGACAATAGATTATACAAAAATGATACTTTACACACCATAAGATAATATCCATCCTATTGTAAGAAAACATACTTTTTGCATAGGAAGCATATAGAATTGACATAATTAGTAGAATATATTAAGTTGTATAACTTGTGTTTAAGTAAATGATTATTCTGTTTTTTTAATGAATTTCCTTTTCTTTCTTTCTTTCTTTCTTTTTGGTTCCTTCATTTATTCTCCCCTTTGAAAACATCATTACCAGTAACATTAGGTAAAGTATAAAGTAAAAGAATCCCTAGAGGAGAACAACATAGCTGTCACCTTGATCTAGGAAATCAAGAATTGGTTAGTGTAAGTAAGCATGAGAAGAAAAATCTTTTCCAGCTATCTACTGATTCAATTCAGTTGAATAAACAACCCCACCACCACCACCACCATGTGCTAGCTGCAAAAGACATGGGTCTACAGCTCAATAGAAAGAAAATGGGCTCACTTACCAATTTGATCCGGTGGCCGGGGGTGGAGCTGATTTCCCATGTGCACTCCTTCCTGCTTGGATACTTGTCTGGCCAGTTGGGACTGGTGATGAGGCCACTTGGGCTGTGGATCTTCTGTTCACACTCAGCTGTGCCAATAACGATAATATCAGTCAGTGTGGAATCTAGCCCAGGATTGGGCCAGAAAACAAGCAGCCTATTTGCCCACTGCTCTGTTGAAAGATCTTTCTGAATACTAGCTAATCATCACTCTGGTCTCTGTTATCATATTCATCTGCTTTGGCAAATAAGTTGCTGAGCATAATCATGCAATGTTTGTTGTCTGACTCACTGGAAATTAAGTGTTTGCCACAAATCAGATAAATGCCTAAAATAAAATGAACTCCTATTTTAAACTGCTGGATCCATAAACTCAGACTTTAATAGAGCAACATATATTGACAATCAAGAATATCAACGCTGGGTTTTGCAAAATATGTAATGCATTGCTACAAACAAAAATCAATGAACTATGCCATTTTAAAATCTTTTTTTATTTCCACATTAACAGAACATCACTTTCATCTAATTAATATCATTAAAACATTTTAGAAATTATATATTTATATTTTCTCTCTCCCTTAGTGAAGTGTACACTTAAAAACCTAAGTCACAGTTTTAGTTGCCAAATAAATTAACCTCAATTTCATTAAAGCAAAATGAAGCATTAGGGATTAAAAAAATTAGCTCCTTAGCCTTGGAGACAGCTTTTAAACTAACTAGAAAGAATATCTCATACCATTAGCATAAAATTTCTTATGTTTCTATCAGTTCAGACGAGACCATTCCACACTTAGTATCAAGTTTCAAAGTATTTGACGTCATCAGGCTGTGTTCACTGTATATAATTTGTGAAGCTATACCCTAGGGATCCTGGTTTAGGCTGGAATTATTTGTTACATATTGTGTATCCCATTGTAAACTATAAATGATTTTCTAAAATTTTCCAAGGAATCTATCTGGGGAAATTATTTACTATATAAACAATATATCAGCATACTGCAGGGCCACACAACAAGGGTCCATGCTCAATACAAATTCATGCAATTGATGTTATCATTGCTGCCACTATTGCATTCCTTAATCTACACCTTCATCTTAACCACACTAGTTCTCCATAGGAAGATTTGGATTTACAATGTGGAGGAATATCAAGAAGATACAGGTGACATTCAGCTTCTGGCAAACAAATGAGGATTATGTAGCAAGACAAGAGCAGGCTCTGGGTTCCATCCCAACCCTGGGGGTGGGAAAGAAAAATAAAAAGAAAGAAAAATTCTGGATCCTATCATGAAAAGGGTTTCTTAAATTCCATCATCCCTGTTTTTGCCTTGCCACATGAAATATGGAGTCTACCTGATTTACAATAGCCTGCAACAAAGCAAACAGGCTTACTGCTAAACTATATAAGGTGCATATACTACAGCAAAGGTAAAAGAAAATTCAACCTTTTTCCTGGCAATAAAAAATAATTTTATTAAAGGGTACTTGGACATCATTCTATCTAAATGGAAGTTTTCTATAAAATTACTTCTGGAAATATTAGCTACTTAAAATATTAGGAAGATATTTGTTATATCTGAGACATGGGTTACATGCACATTCTGCAAAAGCTGCTTCATGTTTTTCTCTGAATTACCTTCCATTTCTGAAGGAAAAAAAAAATTCTGGGCCTGTTGCCCAGACTGTTGATTTAATAGCATATACTACCAAGTTACAAATATGCTCATACAGGAAAGCAGAGAGAAAAAAAATTCCTGGTTGCATATGATCCTGTACAATGCCATTTTCTTCAAAAAAGAAAAAAAAATAGAAAGAAAGAAAACTTGCCAACTTACAATTCTAAGGTATATACAAGAAGTCCATTATGTAACTGGGATTTTAGTCAGGTCCTTCCAATGTACATACACAGAATGATGAGTAGTTATAAAAAAAACTTACTTAATAATTTTCTTTTTGAAATAGGCATAAATCCAATTTAAGTAGAAAATTCCAGAGTAGACTCTCAAAGGAAGAAATAAGACCTGAATAATTATCTCCTGTTTCCATATAACTCACAGTAGCTGAGGGGAATAAAATTATTGTTTTGAAAAATCTTGGAATTTTTTAAGACTTTGGAAACAATCTGGCAGGCTAGTATTGTGCTCCTAGTATGCTTGCTTTTTATTTTCTGGCCAAATCCTGACTTAAAACTTTAAATGGCATGTACCATTTTCAAATGTCTTTCCCTTGGTAGACATTTGAGCTTGATATGTCTGATATTTAAGGCACATCACTCATGAAGCTCATGTATGAGAAATTTGGGGGAGGGCTATAACACCAAATGTAAAACATTTTTCAGAAGTTCGGTTTATATATGGATAGTGTTGTAAGGTCTATTCTATAAAGACCTGAGGATAACATGTTGATTTTTGGCTACCAGATGGCTTCATAGCAGCTTATGTATCTCATATACAAGTTACTCTAATGCTGCCCACATGTAACATGTAAAACCTTTTGGTAATATAATGAGGTTTCCAGTTATATTATATGGGATCTATAAACATTTCACAAAAATTTTTTAATTTTTATTTTTCAACTCATTGATATTATTAACTCTCCTTAGAAGCAGAACTTTGTTCAAATCACATGAAATTTGAGATGTTGTCAAGAAGAGGACATTTCTTTCCATACCTTCCTTGCAATCATGTTTATTCTCATGCAGCACAAATCCGTTACGGCACTGACACATGTAGCTTCCCACTGTGTTGACGCATTCCTGCTGACACCCACCATTATCCTTAGAACATTCATCTTTGTCTAGCAAGGAAATAAACCCCATAGTTTAGTAAGTAGATTTTTAAAAAATGCTCTTAAAGGACAGTCACTTATTGAGGCGAGCAATGGCCAAGGGTAAACTAAGTCACAACTTTCCCTGTGTTCAACATGAAAAAAAAAATAGAAATTTAAGGTGTCTTAGTTTTACCCTTTTCTTGTTTAGCTAGGAGCCTTGTACCATGGAATGAGTTTCTGAGAATACTTGTGCTAGGATAACAACTTACAATATTCTTTCACTTCGATACTGGAGTAAAAGTTTTGAGTAGGGAAACAAAAAACAGTCAACATATCTTTTCCCAATTAATCTACACAGTGATTGTGAATTTTTAGAAATGAATTTAAAATCACTAGTAGCTTTAATGAAGGCAAGAAACAGCATTTACGTAGTGGTCAAATCCTTCATTATATTAACCATGGTGTACAGACAGAGGCTAAACAAGTTTCCAACATTTGTATATAATTGCTTTTAAAAAAATCACTCAGTATAACTACTGTAGTTGATTTTTTTTCATTAACTTTGCAGATATGCTTGGCATTAATGAATCTGGACATTTCAAAACATTCCAAGACAGAAAAGACATCGTTAGACCATCTTAAAGATGAAAGTTAATTTATATTTTAAACAAATCTACTCTGGCAGACTAGTTTATTAATAAGTCATCCTCTAAAAAGGCTTTTAGTGTGCTAGAAGTAAAGGTTAAAATAGGAAATATGAGCTTTAGGAAATAGTCAATATATTCACTACAGGGAGAAAGCCAAACTAGATTAACAGGCAGTCGATTCAGTGACAGGCATCAGCTGTCACACTACGTTACTCAGCTGTCATCCCATGGCTGGCATGTCCCTTTAAGCCAAACTGGCAGGTTGCTCCTGACACACATATATGGTGGCATATCACTCAGAAGTTCATCACTCCCACACACAGAGAACAAAAAGGACACAGTACAGTCATGTCAGAGGTGAGATGAATTCAAATTTTTCACTGTCAACTGATTTTGCTGGTGAGAAATAGTGAGTTCACATGACAGTTTGCTATTTTGGCTTTTATATATTTTTGTTTATTTTTTTTTAAATAATCTGCTAGCAATTTTGAAAGATGCATCTACTTTTTCCACTTTTAAAGATTGACTGCATGACAAGCACACACAGGTTACAGGATATATTCATACATTGGCAGAATATTTCAAATACATACAGGTATTCTCCAGTCTTTAAAGAATATGTAAGAATCAGTAAATTTGTGATTTATGTTTTCTCTGCCTATCCTTGCCATTTTCATTATTCTTTTATTTTTTTTTATTGTTGGTTGTTCAAAACATTACACAGTTCTTGATATATCATCTTTCACACTTTGCTTCAAGTGGGTTATGAACTCCCATTTTTACCCCATATACAGATTGCAGAATCACATTACACAGCCATTGATTTACATATTGCCATACTAGTGACTGTCGTGTTCTGCTACCTTTCCTATCCTCTACTATCCCCCCTCCCCTCCCCTCCCCTCCCCTCTTCTCTCTCTACCCCCTCTACTGACCTTCATTTCTCCCCCTTGTATTATTTTTCCCTTTCCCCTCATTTCCTCTTGTATGTTCTTTTGTATAACCCTGAGGGTCTCCTTCCATTTCCATGCAATTTCCCTTTTCTCTCCCTTTCCCTCCCACCTCTCATCTCTGTTTAATGTTAATCTTCTTCTCATGCTCTTCGTCCCTACTCTGTTCTTAGTTACTCTCCTTATATCAAAGAAGACATTTGGCATTTGTTTTTTAGGGATTGGCTAGCTTCACTTAGCATAATCTGCTCTAGTGCCATCCATTTCCCTGCAAATTCTATGATTTTGTCATTTTTTAATGCAGAGTAATACTCCACTGTGTATAAATGCCACATTTTTTTAATCCATTTGTCTATTGAAGGGCATCTGGGTGGGAACTAAGCAAGAAAAAAAATTAAATAAAGATAATTAATCTCTAAAAGAGTAACAAACACCAAACTGCATAAGAAAGCATAAATTAATAGAGAATTAACATCATAAAGTTAATTTTAGATTAATTTATCATATCTTAAACCCCATTCCCTTAACTCTAACACTGAATATTATTGGTTATGAATTATGAATGATAAAAACAGAACGGATGGGTGGTAAATTATATTTACTATTGCTATCTTGTCACTTGGTTGCATTTCCTAATTCACATAGTTCAGCAGTAAATGTTTAAAATATATTATTTTATCATAAGAAGCTTTAGAAAAAGCCTTCCTCATGAGTGAATATAGATAAAAATCCTCTTCATTAAATGAAAAAAGACTATTTAAAATTTTTTTCTGGTGCTACAATTACTCTGAAATAGAAACACACTTCTTATGAAAATGTTTATATAATGATGATTTGTTGTATTTAAAATAAGACCCAATAGAATGAACTTCAGAATGTATTATGGTCAACTAGACTTTCGAGAATGGTATGAAAACCTAACAATTGTAAGCAAAGTAGCTTAGAGAACATTTGTTCCCTTTTGTAACTGACTGGTAAACAAATGGACTGCTCAAGGACCCACCCTATGGGGTGAAGTTGCCTGATTCCTCCTTTCATTGGTACCTGTCTGGATGGCCATGCATGGGAAGCACCAAAATGTTAAAAGAACACATGTATTATTACAGAATAATAATACATGTATTCTTTTAACACACTTATGGTATAGTCAAAATAATTCCAACACATCAAACTTCATTCTAGTAGAAATATCATCTCACTAGCTAATCTTTCCAAGTGTGATTAGTTTCAGGACCTCATAGGGCATAGCTGAGCTGTAGTAGTGGTAACTGAAAGAATTCCAAGTAAAACCAATCATATTTTAATAGTTTTTTTCAACCAATTATTCTTATTTCTGTTGTGCTGAAAAAATAACTTTTCAAATAATATTTGGAAGAGGAGGAGGAGAAGAAAAACAGGATAAATTGAAGAACTAGAAGATGAAGCATTATTATTATATTATTATTTATGTAGTCATTATTTTCTAAGTATCTGTTATTTTTTACTTTTCCAGTTTGTCTGTGTTTCCTGCCTCCCTCCATTCCCACATAGCTTGTTTCTTATTTTAGTCAAGGTCCCATGAAAGTTAAAAGTCATCAATTAGGCTGCTAGAATATATTTATGGGTTAATCTATGCTTTAGCCAAGATGCAAAACTGGACTAATCAAAATTGTAACTAAAAGCAGCAGAGGGAAATTATGTCCAGAAAGGTAGCATCTAAAACTGAGCTCCTTGTGTCAAATGGTCATATGAAAAGAGAAAATTTCATTAAATCATTGGAATACTTAAAATGAGCCAGATGTTTTACATCATGCAGACAAAAAAAAAAGCCCATATTTTTTTAACTTAATAGTTTGTCTAGAAAATAGTGAATACATTGGGGTCGTTTGAAGATATTTTTAATAGAGATAATTAATTAACTATTCTAATTAAAGTAAATTCAGTTTTGGATTTTCTTTGTGAGAAACAACAATATCATAAAAGAAGAATTCCACCAATATGTTCTGTATTTCTTACTTATGAAAGGCCATCAAACTAGCAGGGTATGGGGGAGAAACCTTAACAAGCATGATTGACTAATGTTGTCCCTTTTTCCCTCTCAGGATCTAACTTCACAGACTTTTCACAGAATGAAGAATTCAAGAAAAAGGGAAAGGGAGGAGGATGCAGAGTATTCAACATTTCTTAAAATGTCTGCATAATCAATTAAATAATTGAGAATTCAATCAATTATTCATTTGAAATTTTCTGACATTTTCATAGAGTAGACACACAATGAAGAAAAATTAATAGTTTTTATTAGTAGAAGAAACAAATATTTTGTGAAGAGAAAAAAAAAAAACACATTTCTCTTCTGTAGATGGAAACGAACCCCAGTCTTGGGAATGGACATGTCTGTTTTCCATTCTGTGTTAGATGAAGAAAAGTTCTATTATTAGGAGAAGGGAGGTGGTATTTTCCCATCAGAGCCTGTAGCATACCTCTGAGACTATCAGAGGTCATCAGTCTATGAATAATACATACTGGTTGGAACTGAAGTGGCAACCTGTAACAAGTTCTTGCAAGATTCAAAAATAAAAATTTTCTCTTTGCAGAAAGCTTCCTTATCTGTAGGAAAAAGAAGTAAACATTCCATGCAACAGAACAGCAACATATAGGAAAGCAAATATTCTCAAACCAAATCCTCAGGACTGAAATTAAGAGATACATACAGTACTCATGCACACACACAAACACAGCATACACAACATAAAACTATTCAATAAATTATCACCTTTAGAGAGCAAAGATAAAATCTGAGAGCTACAACACTGACTATAGCTCTTTCCATAAATATGCAAATATTAAATCTTACTAATATTGAAAACTTAGAAGCAGGATTCAAAACTGTATAGGAATATTGTAGTTACATTATTACTGATAATTAATCACACCAATATTTATACATTTGTTAGGGTGATATTAGATTGAATGTTATCTACAAATATCAACAACCATTCCATGAGAAAAACTGTGTAAAGAAAACAATGTTTATGAAGAAGTATGTGTGAGAGAAGATGAGTGTGTCAGTCAAAATCACTTGAATTTATAATTAGAAATATTGAAATAAAATTATTTTATCTTACTCTGCATTTCTATAGACCAAAATGAACTGGGAGAAGGCAAACTTCAGTTTCATTCTATTTTTGTCACTAAGAAAGTCACTAGGTCTATCAATAATAGTTAGATCACATTCCCATTAAATTATCCCTGAGGGAGATTGCTATTGAAAGTTTTCTTTTTCAAATTTGGTGTTCTGATTATCATAGAAGTCATTACTGAGTCTTTTCACTGTACAGGGTTGCCTAACAAAGGTGCACTCCATGCTCAATGCCCACTGCCTAAAGTTATTTCCAAATTGTGAAAGTTATAGAGAATTTTTAAAAATCCTGTCAAGTTCTCCAAATGATGCTGTTTTGCATGCATAAATTTCTACTAATACTTCTTTGGGCTTAACCTATTCTAAGAAAAATAACTTTGTTCTGAGAGGTATATAGCTAACTTTGCCTTATCACTTAAACTAGATAAACTGTATTGTGTATACCTATGCAGGCTTATACCCCTGTGTTCAAAAACGATATCACGTAAAATTGAGTTTTATTTTATCAGCATATAAAATAAATCATTATTATTAATCTAATAACAAATCTCCTTTAGCAATTCTTGGATTAGATATCTTCTAGAAAATGCCCATGTTACTATATTCTGAATTATCTAAAAAATGAATAGACTTATAATTCTAGTTAATATCCCAATAGCCTTATTTTGATATTCCTAATTTCTTTATTTTCCTAAATATCAGTTCCTTCATTTGTTCTGAAAATATATTCTGGAATAATTACAGTGCATCAAACTTTGATTTTTGTAAAGCAGGTTAAAAGCTTTTCTGCTTATAAAATCCATTAACTTCCCACATTTCAAGCTATGACATTTTCATAACTAATTTATGAAGCTTAATTAGAATTGATATATAAGGATTTCTTAGTTTCATGAACATGGAAGTGACAGAAATCATTGATGTTAATTATTCTGCTAATAAGTTCTTGGAAACATCCTTTTGATTCCATTTCTTAAATCTAAAAATTACTTATTTAAAAATCTGGGGTTATGTGTAAAAATAGATACAATCTACATGGTTATTTTATTTGATAATGGTATGTTAGAAACAGCACTATAAGTACTTTATTTCATTGCATACATTAAAATTTAAATATAGCTCTTCCTCTCTTTTGTTATGTATGACTTCAAGGAAGTTTAAATTTATTTTCAAATTGCTTTCCTTTCCAAATACTGTGGGATAACTTATCACCAAATACTGTGTTTTTTATTGTTATTGAATTCCTTTGTAATTGTTATTAGGAAAAGAATAAGAAGAAAATAATTGAACACGTTATGTTATACCCCTTGTTAAGATTATGTAAAGCCATAACTACTTTTGAAATTTTAAAACACTGGCTATAAATGTTACTATTTAAGACTAAGTTCCCATAAAATATCTTTTGATTCTTATTTTATTGTCTGTAATAAGATAATTACAAATTAACTTGTTTTGATTCACTTCTATTGATTTTTTCTTATATTAATATTGAATAACAATAAATATAAAAACTCAAAATTTTCTTCACTTAGAAAAGATCAAAGTCCATCAGGCAATGTTTTGCAAATCTAGAAATATTTTTTAAGACAGATAGTTGGAAATATTATTTAAGGATTTTTCTTCAAAGTTACTTTATATTTAAATCAGAGAAATGCTCTGAGATAAATTGGAGTTTACTATAAGACACGGTCTTCCCACTTTAGCAGAAGTATTTTAGTGTTTTTAAATGGTTAATATTTTATCATCTACAACTTTTTGCACCATGAAGTCATTAAACTATATTTATGGTACAAGAGTCTATTTGCTGTAACTTGCTATTTTTTTTTAATTGTCACACTATTTTGTCCAAATTTCTATCATTATCTCATTATATTTAAATCTTTCTTGATGTGGGGATATTTATGAGAGTCTCCCAAAAGAATGGGATTTCTTAGACAAACAGGACAGTCATGTTAATGACTCTTGATCTCTATGCCTGATTGTTTTCTAAAGAATCTGTGACAATAAAACTAATAATGCACTTTAAAAATCCCCCAATAATGGATTTTAACATTAAAAAAATCCTTCAATTTTGTTGTGAAGTATAGTATGACCGTGGTTTACATAGTTACTTTCTAATAAATGTAGTTACAATAAAATATATGATTTTTGACAAATTATTTTATGACACTTAAAGCATTATTAGAACTATTAAATAATATTTTCAATGTGAATAAACCTATTTATTAAAATGATGAACTTTTGTAGGTTATAATTTTGTAAGATTATCAGTCTAAGATCATTTAGTTATCTAAATCCTTATTTACATCCATCTCTTTATGGTACCACAATGGTAATTTACTACAAATAGAATGTTTTTACCTTCTGTTTTCTTGAGCACACACATTCCCCACTGACAGAAACTCCCAGGAAATAAGCTGTGCAATAGGTATCATCCAAAACCATAATATTTTAAATATAAATATGGCAAAATACAAGGTCTTTTCAGTGCATCAAAAGGAACATTGAAAATTTATACTTAATGATGATTATTTCACACTTTACAAAAAAGTAATCTAATACAGAAATGAAAAGCATATCTATTGTTTTTCAGGTCATAAGGATGTTGAATGGCACACATTCATTATTAATGCCCCTTGCAAAGGTCATAATCTGCTTTTATGGTTAAGAGAATTGTCTGTGAACCAAGACAGAATAGGGTTTAAATGCTTTGTGACCCTGAGCAATGTATTAACTCCTCAGCAGCTCATCTTTCAAATAAACATAGAAATGAACATACCAATATAATATGAATGTCCAGAGTTTAGTTTCCTCCTGAACTTCATTGTTCATTTTATTTAACTACCTTCATTCCATCAGTATAAGCTAGATTCTTCTAAAATAAAATAAATACTGCATGTAGCATGTGTGTGTGTTTAAATACTAAAAACAGATAGTTTTTTAAATGATTGTATTAGTGAACATGACTTATAGCAAATAAGTTGCTTAGTATTATTGAGATACTCAGCTAATATTGCAAAGCATCACTACACAGAGAAAACAATAAAACCTATTATCTTCTCAAGTGATAAAAGTACCATCTGCATTCATGTTTGTATTCTAAGAATTTAAAAAGCACATTTATATTGCACTAGTAGTGTTCTAAAGATTCAGATCTGGCTTTTTATTTGGAAAATTTTGTCTGACCAAAAATAACAGAAAGTGATTTTAATTGTTGTGAGAATTGTTAAATTTAATCATAATTTGAATTCAGTATGTATAGTATGTATTTTTAAAGAATCTTGAAGTATGTTACCAAGGTAATGTGCAAAGGAATACTTTGAATTTTATGATAAAATTGCATTGCTTCATAATTTCACTTTTTAAAATAACTATTTAGATGGCTTGAGGTAAATAGCTTTGTCTCTACCATGTCCATGATATTTATACAATAGTGAAGTCTAAGAAAGTCTCTTTTATTGAAATAAGATATTCACATTCTACTTTTAAGAATATAAATCTTAAATAAATGCCTAAGAAGAATTTTTAAAAGGTAATTAAATCTGTGAGAAGGCAAGGGAACAAGAGCAAGTAAGCTGAGACCCATTGTATTTTGAATGCACTTTTATGTCTGAATTGGAACTCAATGGAGCTTGTGAACCATTAACTTCAATTACCCCCCAAATCCCAAACAAACCCTGGACATTGTAAATCTCATTAATTTTAAACTCAGGGGGACTGGAGTAAATGGACTTCGAATTAACTCAATCCAAATTACCTAATATTAAAGCATAATTAGAATTTAGTTGCTTTAAATTATTTGTTACCTTTGTGCAAATGCAGAATAGATTCCTATACTGAGGTTTATTACAATATTATCTGTTCTTGAAGTTTTGAAATATTGTTTTTATAATGAATCATTCTGAGATTGAGAAACTAGGGAAATTTCATGTTTCTATATGTTTTTGTAAAATTGGGCAAGTTTTTATTTATTGTATTTTGAATTGGTTGCCAATTTCCAAACACAGAAGTATAAAACATTAAGTATACCCCATCCTATGTTATTTGTAATAAAATCATAGTTCCATATTTCTCAGCTACAATCATGCCTGTAGCAACAAGGCAAATATGATGTTGTTACTGGCCTAAAGATAAGAATGTAAATATAGCAATAACAAGAAGAAATATGTTGCAAAATGAAAGAGTCTAAAAATAAGAACACATTTAAAAAAAAATGTTGAAAAATATTCCACTGTCTAGTAGTCTGGTATCATTATTCCCATATATCTGTAACAAGTAGTCACTGCTTGAAGTATTATATCATTATTTTTGTGTTATTTGTACCAGACTTTATTTATACAAAATCTAATCATTTGGGGTCAACCTTTCATCAGTGCTCCTTTTATTAATATCTTATGCAAAAAATGTTAATACTAGGATAAATCATCATTTATTCTTTGTGCTTCCAAGTTTATCAACAGTAAACCGTGAAGGAAAGATCATAAACTTAAGCCAATCCATGTTGATCAGTAACATACACATACAACATGTTAATACTTATACCTGAGAAAAAATGTGCTTTGAAGCCTTTCTTGGATACGGTATTGTCAGATTTGAACTCAATCCTCATGTTGTTGTACTGGGATGTGATCACTTCCGGCACTTCTGCGCCACAGAATTTACCATGCAGTTTAGAGTCAGAGGAAAGACCACTCCAGATCTCCACATAATCGTATTTGCATACCTTGAAAAAAAAAAAAAACACAGTGGTCCTAGTCACTAGACCAATAGTACCAGATGATTGACATTTATTTGAGAAGTATATCAGGTTTTTACCTGTTTACTCCCATGGCAGTCAAACTGGAAATGACAGGTTAAAGAAAATCAAGAACATGGTTCAACTCTGAGATAAAAAGTATGAAAGATAGAGAATAATTTTGTTGTGAATGTCTTCTAGATTGTATATACACTGACATGCTTGTTTCTTTGTGGCAAGTGACTATATTTTTTCAAAAAAGACAAAATCATAAGGAGAATTCAGATGAATATTTGTTGAGATGATGGTGGTGATGGGCAGAAGAGCAGCAGTTTGTCACTTTCTCATTTTTTTAAAAAACTTTTTATTTATTTATTTATTTATTTATTTATTTATTTATTTATTTATTTATTTAATTTACCAAGGATTAGACTCAGGGGCACTTGACCACTGAGCCACATCCCCAGCCCTATTTTGTATTTTATTTAGAGACAGGGTCTCACTGAGTTGCTTAGCCCCTCGCTGTTGCTGAGGCTGGCTTTGAACTTGCAATCCTCCTGCCTCAGCCCCCTGAGCTGCTGGGATTACAGGTGTGCACCACTACTCCTGGCTTCATTCTCTGATTTTTTTTAATTGCTTTAAATTTCAAAAGGAACTGCAAAAGTATTTATATAGTATTCTATTTTCTACAAAACATGGCAGGTCATGTGCATAATATTAGTATAATATTATATAATATAATATTAGATTGAGTCTATCAAACACTAGCAACAGAAATAATCCTTTTTCCATTGTAGAGATGAGAAAACTGAGGTTCAGAATTTTTTTTATATATAACTTGTCCAAAATATAGTTATCAAACATGGAGTATGGGGGTGGACAGAGTCTGGCTTAGTCCTGTTCTGTGTCATGGAAATATGACATTCTGATCATAACAACACCATTACTCACTTTCAAAGGGAAAGACAGACCCTTGGTATATAATAAAAAAAGTCAGTTTCCTTTCAAATTTATGAAAATTACTGTTTCTTAATTTTTCCAAGTTTGTAGGTATTTAGTATTTGTAGGTTTGCAGCTGGATCACAAACCAATAGCAATTCTATTCAGTGGAATGGAGGCAGGAATATATACCAAATTGAGATCTACTCATTCTGATTTATATGTAATACACTAACAATACCCAAATGGAAGAAGGCAAGTGAGTGCCAGGTAGTCTTAAGCAATTTATGGCTCTCAAATGTTCCATGATACACTTTTCCAAAGTTCCAACAGGGCACATTCTAAAGAACACATCTTACATGAATGACCTTATTACATAAATGTGTAATTAGAAAGGTTTAACAATGCACACGATTGAACCTTGGGGCATGATGTGTTCTTTGAACTATGTCAACTCAAATTACTGGTGATATTAATTAGGTGATAAATAAGCAAAATGATGCTAGGAAAAATGAGATAACTTTCTACTTACTTTGTTAAAACTGAGGTTTTTGTTTAAAGATGTCTCCAGTATATTATAGGAGGATACTTATAGGGCTAAAGTTCTTTGCCATTGACTTTCCTTTGGTATCTCAGTATAAAGAAGAAAATAATTAAGGTTTAAACTTAACCCATTATTCTGAAATTCAAGTGTTTGCTCAGGCCTCTGATTATAACAGCATAGATATGCAGAAAACATGGAGAATTCTGTGATGGCTTCTCACAGGGTACCACCACTATAAACAGAGTTCTGGGATATGTTTAAATAAAGTTTGTAAAGGGTCCTTATGTGAACTATGACCATTATTATGAGAACAATGCTTTTAGAAGACAGTGCCCCATTTATGTAAATTACTGCCCTCCTTCATCCTGAATATAAATCTCTCACTAGTCTTCTCAGAAATATGTACCAATTAATGAATTCAAAATATCTCACTTGCTGCAACTAATAGCTTTAGGGAAAACTGAGAGTAGAAGTCATTCAATACTCAGTTCATATCAAATCACAGGAATTGATAGAAAATTCCATTTTCAAGAATTGTAACTCAATAAAAGCTTTTCCAAAAATACCATAAAAAATTTCTCTTCATTTTAACATTTCCCCAAATTTGAAGTAGTCATAAAAGGAAAAAGATGTTCCATGTGGATAAAATATATTAAAATGATAAACTGCAGTGTATCCCATCATAAAACTCACACATAATGTTAAAAAATAATCTCAAAAGATCCATTGAGTTTTAAGATTCTACAATTATCTAAAATATATAAATTCAGACTTTAGTCTCCTTTAAAGGGGAACAAAAGTCATCTATCTATTGTAACAAAACCCTAGAAAGAGATTTTTAAAATGCACAGAAATACTTTGGCTACTATAGACAGAAAACAGATTAAAAAGAAGGAACAAATAGGAGGTTAAAAAAAGAACAGGCAAAGATAAGTATATAAAAGCAAAGTTATATGTAAAGTCCACAAATGTTCCCAACAATGATTGTCCCAGATATATTTCTGTTCTCACACTTTGTGTTTTGACAGAAATATAACAAAGACAAAATAATTTTTATGAATTTTATCATGTTTAGAAGTGTTGAATCATGTTCATTGAAGAGCAAGCAAAACTGAAATGCAGAAAAAAAATAAGAACAGAAAGTAAGAATGATCAAACAAAACAAGTGTTTATCACGTTTTCTCTTGAATTAAATCAGCATTGACCAGGATATTTTTTTGAAATATTCTTATTTCCGAGTTTGGCAGCCCATTTGAATTTAGTGTGTGTTTAGTGTCTATTAGCACAAAGGATTTTTCAAATAAATGATCTCACTTATTTTAATGTGACCACCTGACAGAAAACTGTATCTTTGCAATGTATGCTATATTTTGTAAAGAAAAGATAGTGTCAACTAAGTACAAATGTTACTGAGGCTAAAAAACAAATATTCCTTTTCTTTTCTTTTGCAGTGCTGGGCAGTGAACTCAGCCAGTGAGCACAGTAGGTATGCAGCCTACCACTGAGCCACATCCCCAGCCCGTTCCCTTATCGATGAACCAGGAGCAAAATTCATAATGAAATGCCACACAGAGAAGAGAACAGAACTACAATGTATCACTGTCCCTGGGACAATGATTATTGGGACTATTTGTGGGCTTTATACATAATTTTGTTTATGCATATCAATATTTGCCTCTTGTTTTTAACCTCCAATTTTTCCTTCTTTCTAATTATTATTTCTCTTAATTCTTCATTAATGGAATATATCCATTCCTACAAAATGTTCCACATTCTCCCATACTTACATTTTTGTGTGGATCCTGATGTTATTTTTTTTTAAAGAAAGTCTATGTGGCATGAAGTTGACCTTAAATACTCTATAATTATTTAATAAATCAGGAAAATAGTGTGTATTAAATCTGCTGAATAAAAACTCCCTCTGGCTGATTTTCAATCTCCCAGAAATTGTCTAAAATATCATCCAACATCAACAACAATTATAATCAGTTGCAGAAATGAGCAACAGAACAAAGAAACATTACAACACCTACATCATTATAATAGATCCTTTTTTTCTTTTCCTTTTTCTTTTTTTAATCTTTGCCAGTTTGCCTTAGTAATTCCCAAAGTATGATTCAAATGCATGGTATGTATGGTTCACTTACTTCATTTCCTTCTAATTCAAAAAACTCAAACTTCATAGAAATTCTGTATTGAGTTGGTGCAACCACTTGCCACACACAGTTTTTGTTGGGAGGGTACTCTTTAGGCCAGCCGGGGGTAGTGATGGTGCCATTGAGCTTGGATAGAAGTCCTCCACAAGCAGCTAAAAAGAAGGAAAAGGTTTGCTTATTAACATCACCCTCTTATGACCCCCTTTTCCACTGGTATCTCAACATCCCAACGTTAAATTTCAACCATCTTCAGGATTTCAAAATCTAATAACTGCACTCTCTGCTCCTTAGCTTTTAATACAACTATTTTAATCATCAAATCCCATTTATAAATTGCTATCTTATACCTTTAGAACAAAGTAGATTATGACTGTACTACCACATTTTAAATCACTTGAAAGTTGGTCAAGCAATATAAAATGGGTTTCTTAACTTTTAAATGAGTATAATGACTACCATAGTGTCTTGGCTACTATAGAATTAAGAAAAAAACATATTTTTTCAAGAATTGATAAGGCTGTTGTGGGAATTAAGAAATGTGCATCGATAGATAGATATCATAATACAGTTTCATGGCAATAAGACCAAAATCAATTATGTATTTTCTCAAACTATTTTTTTCCAAAACAAGTAATGCTATTATCTAAGCTAACAAACAAGATAAATTGCGGTAAACAGAACATACTTGTTCCCAAAAAAAAATCTACTTAACAACTGGTTTTCTTTCCTTTGGGATGATCTATTTATATTTCTTCTCTTTCCTATTGATACCAAAATTTGCAAAATCATGTTTTCCAAGAGCAAGTTGAGAGAAAAGGACATATATTGTACACAGTATAATTAATTAACTCCTAGGGAGTCCAGAGTTACATAAAGATAACTGGCCTCTTTCTTTGCCTTTGTGCACATATGCATGTGCATATATATTGCCATATTTATAAGTATGCAAAAATACTACCTGAACATTCACTTTTATCAGTTTTTGGCAAATGACCATGAAGTAAAATGTATGTTTCTAGGACCCACATATAAATAATGGTCATGTTCTTTTATGATTGATATACATTGTTCTTTTCTGAAATAATACTGCATCTTCTTTGTAACTATGTCATTTTCATTCTAGGAGAGGAGGATTAGTGGTTTAACAGGTAGGATGGAGACTTTTGAAAGCCAGACAAAGTTCAAACTCACAAGAAGAAATAGGGAGACTGATTTTTTTTTTTTTTTTTAAGAAATAGGCCATCAAGGGTGTGACACTTATTCCTTAAGCAAATAGTTTTGCTGCTTTTGCCACTTTCATCCTGTTACAGACACAGTGGAGAACAAGGTGCTCACTTTCCAGAGACTTGCTTCTTGGTGAGCAAAACCAAAAATAAATTAGTACATGAATACAAATAATAGTAAATTGCTACAAGTTCTAGGTAGATAAATTTAACAGAATTTTTAAAGAGAGATAAAATAGAAATTGACCATAGGAAGGAAGAGCAGTCAATTTCTTCCGTCTGTTAATGAAGGTCTGTAAGAGGGTGGAGGAGAGAAGGTGAAAAAGAGGAAGCTTTAAATTCCTAGGAAAGGGATCTTAAGCCATGGGAACAAAACACTGTATGGCAAACCTAACGTTAGAGCGTGAAGGGAAAATGCAGAAAACCATGACAAGTGATGATTTAAGAAATCATATATTCATAAGATGTGCATTTAGCTTTATGCTAAATGCTTTGCTCTGACTGTGCTAGATGTTAAAGATACAAAGATGGTTCAGGTTCTGGCTTGTCATCTTAATAAGGGAGACATTCATAGACTATGTTAAAAAAAAAAGATTAAAACAATGATGAATAGACCAATGGATGGATGCATGGAGGGATGGATACAAAACTAGATCTAGATAGAGATAGAAATCAATATGTATGTATGTATGTATCTATATCTATCCATCCATCCATCCATCCATCCATTATGGGCCTGGTGACCAAAGAAGAAAGGGACTGATCTCTAACAAGAATCCAGGCAAAGATTCACAGCAGCCCTGACTGTGAGTGGAGTGAACATGAAGGAAAGAGAGAGACAAGAGAATGAGAATGCATGAAGGAAAGGGATGGGCAGGGGTCTCCAGGCAGGCAGCACTGTGGCAATCCAGCCCTACCCTCACAGCTTCTCCGGTCAGGCCCCAGTTCGTAGCCAGGCTCGCAGGCGCACTGGTAGCTGCCCAGAGTGTTCAGACAGCGCTGCTCACAGCCTCCTCGGTCAGGTTTGGCACACTCGTCCTCCTCTATAAAAATGGTGAGAGATACAGAACAAGTAGAGCGTTTTGTCTTTACATGGTAGGGTGCAAAAATTTTTGTAAATATGATGCTTACTGGCTCTAAATAAAACAAAGACGATTCATTTCTTTGGGAAAGGAGCAGGAACAATGTATAAGCCCTTGATGGATCACACAGAAGGCTCATGTTGCTGTAATCTCCTAAGAATTGTGGAAGAACCAAGAGAAAACTAGGACAGGGTCAATGGAACAGTACCTTCTCCAAGACACAGTGTGTGTGTTTGTGGGTTTTTTGTTGTTTTTTTTTTTTTTCCTGAATTTCAGGTCAAATGAGACTGTCAAATCTTAGAGGTTGTTCAGAATGAAATAGAAAAGCTTACTGAAAAAGCATAGTTTCCCTATTAATTTCATAGTATAATTTGCTAGATGAATCTCAAAAAATGATTCTAGGGGCTTCTGAAATATAGTTCAGTGATAGAGTACAAGCTTAGCATGTGTGAGACCAGCCGGGAGAAATCTTCAGCATCATAGACACACACACATAAAATTATTCCTTCATACTGGAGATTGAACCCAGGGGTGCTCTGACACTGAGTTAAAACTCCATCTCTTTGTATTTTTTATTTTGAGACAGGGTCTCGCTAAGTTGCAGAAGGTCTTGCTAAGTTGCTGAGTCTGGCCTCAAACTTGTCATTCTCCTGCTTCAGCCTCCCATTACAGGCATAAAAAGTTTTTTTAAAAAATATCATTATTAAGAAATATAATGTGGCAAATATATTATAAATTAATATTCTTACAAAAAAATAACTTAAAAGTTGACTGGATCTCTTTAAAGTGTTTACTATAAATACTTATATTCACTGTTTCTTATAAGGACATTTTGATGTATAACATAATAATTCAATATTTTCACAAATGTATATGCTACTTAAATTGTATATGAAAATGTCTGAAAAATAGATACTATTTTTAAAAATGTATATGACAGAATACTCCATATCTTGCTTTCCAGAAATAACTTAATGTGAATTAGGCAAATTGTAAATATCCTCTGGTGAAATTATCTGTCAGCAAAACACTAAGTATTTTTTGATAACCAAATACACATAAATATCACAGGAAAAATGTTTGGCAGCCCATTTTTTTTCTGTGAAATATAACACATACAGAAAAATTTTACACTTTGATGGATCCATATAGTTAGAGCATCAAGTTTTTCTGTATTTCAATTCATATGATGAATACTTAAGTAACTCTCAGGGAAAATTCATTTACTGTTGTTCTTGAAATAAGGAAAATATTTAGATGTCTATCAATAAATTTTGACATATACATATTGATTGCTTCATTTATCCTATAAAAAGCAGTGTAGAGATAATTGTTTGCTCCACCCATAGGAAATTTTATTCAACAATGACACACTTAATATAAATGTCTACGAATTTCCCGTAGCATATTTGATGTTTCTATTTACATAAAAGTAGTTTTCATTTTACCTTCATAAAATACATCAAATATGTGAGATAAAAATAAAAATGCAGTTATGCAATTCAAAATTAAAGCTGATCAGCAATAATTCTTTGTCATAAAGACATTTTAGGCATCAGAATAATTCGCTAAAGAAGATGTAAATTCTTTCCAGTGTGGAAGAACACCATTCTGGAAGTGATTCTTTAGACATGCTGGCACTTGGAGATAAACTGATGTGTCAACTGATGTGTCAATAAATTCCCTTCTGGTTACAGATTTTTTGTTTATTACATGTACTCATGTACTGTAAATATTTTCTTCCTTTCTGTATATCCCTTTCTGGATTTTGTTATTTTGACTATTTCATAAAGAACATATGGTAGCCATCCTAACAGCGTCTCTGCCCTGTGCTATGAAGTTCCAAACTCCAGTATTTCACTAGTTACCTTTCTCATCAAAATTCACCAAATATCTTTATAAACAGTGCATACTTCAACTTTTAATACAACCACAGGCCAGTTTTCCCCCAACTTTAAGATCAATAATACAATTCTCCCTGAAAAAAAAAATCTCATGTTTGCACATTACTGCAAATTACCTTTGAAAAAGTTAGCAGCAAACCCTGCCTTATTCACAGTCCCATCAGAAACGAATTTCATCCACAAGGTATTGGAGGTAGATCTTATGTCTTCAGGTTTATCATAACCACAGAAACGACCTATCACAGGGCTATTATCGCTGTTTCCATCTCGAACTTCTAGGTAGTCATAGGCACAGTTGTCATGTCTTTCAATCTACAACAGTAAAAATGTGTGAACATGACCTCATTAATACATAAAACAATTTTATAAGATTATTATGTACTCTCAGTGCCATAGAACTGATTTGTTAATACAAAAGTTACTTAAGTGAATGCAGTAAGTATTTTTCATAAGTGCACATGTTGCATTTGAATAAAGGACTTTTAAAATCATAAAATTGTATGGAAATATAACCATGTTGGTTAGGGTCAGTAGGAAAATCTGAATAAAAAATCTGATAACATGTGATGACAGTTCTTCCTTGTGTATAACATTCTTTATCCATAATCAGCATGGCTAGGTATAGAAAGACTTCTATCTTGTAGAATCAGCAGTGGTTTCTATTTAAAAAAAAAAAAAAAGGTCTTACTAAATTGCTTAGGGCTTCACTTAGTTGCTGAGTCTGGCTTTGAACTTGTGATCCTCTGGCACAGCCTCCCAAATCTCTGGGATTACAGGCATGTGCCACCATATTTGGCTGGCTTTCTTTTTCTCAAGGTAACATGGTCTTGTCTGGATGAGCCCTTTTACATTGACACACTCTTTATAACCCCCATAATTTCCCTTTCCTTAATGACTAAATGCAAATATTAGATCAGAATGTCAGCCTGACTCTTGTTCATGAACCTGACACTTCATAGAGTACACTTGTTCATGAACAATCTGGCCCTTAACTTCTAAAAACAACAGAACAAAAAATGTACAAATTACTATAAAAATAATAAGACAAATTCTGAATAAAATTTTTACTTTTAACATTTTTTTCATAAAAATCGGGTATTATCCCTGAAGTCTCAACTGTTTATTAGGTATTTGAAGTTGTAAAGGAAAGGCATCCATAATTTAAAAACCATTAACACTATTACATCTTGTCAACTACTATTCAACATATAATTCATTAGTTGATGGATTTCTCCCATTATAAAACTAATATCAGAAATTCTACTTATTCTGGAATTAGATTCATTCATAGAATTACAATCTGAATGCATGAAACTGCTGATATAGTTGGTTGAAAACTCCCTTTCCCAATCCATCAATGCATTACCAGTGATAGTCTTCAAAACAAGTAGCATAAAGACAACCAGGAAATAAATTTATTAGAAGCACAAATTTAGATGTAAGAATATGTGCTATATTTGCCATTTTCTTTCCTGCAACCACAAAAGAGAATTCATTCATTTTTTCAACAAACATTCAGGACCTACTCTCAGCTAGGTACTCTTTTCAAAATTTGGTGTATACCATTTAGCAAAATATAAGAACTTTGCCCTTCTGTATCTTACATTCTTCTAGTGGGAAGATGGAAAAGCAATAAGAGTACATAATCAAAAAATATCAGAATATATTAGAAAGTGCCAAGTTCCATGAAAAAATATGAAACAAGGTAAGGAGTATGAGAATTGGGAATGGGGTAGTGGTAGTAATTCTTAGTGATATTAAAGGGTAGGGGGTCACTGAGCATGTGAATCATAAACGCACACATTTTTCCTAAAAACAAAAGAAAAAAAAATCAACACTAAACAGTAACAAGAATGCAGATGAAAAACCAACTATCTATCCTCAGCTGCTTAGAGCAACATAGAATAAACTGCCCCAATTCATAAATCATATTGGAAAAGGGTAGGAAAAGAACAAGACAAAAGAGGAAAGGAATTGAAAATGCACAAGAAAAAAACTCCTTGCAGGAGAAGGTCCTTTAATAAAAATTAAATTATATTCATATTAAAAGGCATGCTAGAATAAAAATTAGTAAGCTAATTGCAAAGGTCTTACAATTAGTATTTTAAGACAACAGTTGCATTTAAAATTGTACTACTCACAGGCAAACAAAATAGACACTATTAAAAATGAAAAAATTTTTTTCAATGATTAAAAAGAAATTGATATTTCCCTGTCCATCATACACTCAGTCCTTTTAATCAATAAACAATAGATCGCTTTAAATTTTAATTTCTAATATATTCACTGCTTAAACCTGAATATTTAAATATGTTATATACAAAGTGTAGATATTCAGATATTCCATGGTTAAATGTATAAAAATGTCTAACTTTAGGACTAATTATACTAGTACCTACTTATGGATTTCATTTTATTTATATACTAAATATTATGTACCTGGTATTAGGAGGTAACACAGGAGAAATATGGACTGCATACTCACATAACAGTGTTTTACTGATCGAGTTGTTTAGAAATGAAATGTGCCTTTTATCTATATGAACTTAACATATTTAGAAATGCATTATGCCTCACACCAACCCTAGATCTCCTCTCAAAGATTGGATGATGGTGTTTGTATACCTTTCCAGTTTAAACCTGTGTGGAAGGCAAGTACAATGAATGTGATTCACTGCTATTAATTATGATTATTCTTCATCAAGTGCACCTACTTGACGAATGAAAGCATAAGTGAAATTGTGAGTCATTTTTATGTCATTTGTGCAATATTTTCTCCACCTGTGCCATATCACTTCATCAATGGATATATATAATAAATGTGCTGAAGATACAAAGTTAATTAAGTCCACTGATGTCACACCAATAACACTAAGCTTCTTGAAAAAAGGAACAACAAAGTTGATGATATATAAAAGCAATAAATAAAAAAGAAAAAGCAGTTTCTCCTTGAATTAAAACATGGACACAGTTCAAAGAGCTGAGAGTCAGGTGCAATGTCATGCACAATCACACACATAAGAAATATGTTTTGTAATAATGATGCTGATTTATTACACACTTTAATGTAATCAGAGCATAATCTACATATGAAAGTGGCAAGTTTATCACAAAGTGAACAGACCCAATATGTCATAAAGAATACAGTGAAAGTGATAGTAAGTTCTGAACATAAACGATACTTGAAATAGGTCCAAATACACAAAAAAGGAATAACACCACCAAAGGCCAGCCAGAGGGGTTAGTGTTACATTTCATTACTCAGTGGGGATCTCTACCTTTAATAGCCAGCTAGAGAACTAAGAAAAAAGTGAGTTTTACTGTTTAGCAAAAAGTAAAATGAATTAAATTGGGCTAAAAGTGGTCAACCTCTCATTTTAAAACCACCAATTTGTACAGAGCTTCTTGAGCTGTTCTTGCAAATGAACTCTAACACTGAAGGAAAGCCAGTCCAAGAGGAAGGGGCCAGACCCAGGCTTTGCATCCAACATACATTATACAAAATAGTGTATATAGAAATAAACATATGTAATTATACCTGTACTCAGAGCAATATGATTCACAGCTAAAAGATGGAAGTCCTTGTACAGGTTAATAAATATACATACAATCAATTGCTATTTAGCTTTATAAAGGAAGGAAATTTTGATATATGTTACATATATTTTGATATATTGTAATATGGATGAAACTTGACATTATGCTTAGTGAAATAAGCCGATTATGAAAATAATAAATTCTATATGTAAGTCTGCTTATATGAGATACCTAGACTCACACATAGAACAGAAATTTACAGAGAAAGAAGAAAATTATTCCTGCCAGGGACTGGGAGAGGAGAGAAGGGAGAAGGGAGAAGGAAGATTGAAAGAACTATTGTTTAGTTGGTATAGAATTCAGTTTTGCAAGATGAAAAGAGTCCTAGAGATTGATTGTCCAATGTGAAATGTACTTAAAACTACTGAACATACACTTCAAAATGATTATGGTGGTAAATTTCATGTCACGTATATTTTACTTGTTACATAATGTTATAATGCAGCTTTAAAATCTAATCTAATTACACAATCAAATGTAAGTAACATTTTGATCAAAATAATGCAACTTTTATACGTAATATAACTCATAATGATATATACTCAGAACAAAGTTAAGGTTGCTTTTTGGTCTTGAGGAAAACATTAAGGAAACTAATACAAGCAATACAAGTGAGCATTTATCATTAAATATTAAGTTAATTTTAATAGTGAGAAAAATCAAGTAAAATCCAGGAATTAATGCTATCAACAAACAGAATCCTGAACAAAAAGGGGAAAGGCTTAATATAAATAATTATGTTTAATTTTGTTATTCTATAAAATTAATATTTATCAGTAGTTGCATTTGATATTGAGTTAATATTAATACATGATTATAGCTATAAAAGGGGAAAATATACTCAAAATGTTAAAAGCAACATTCTGGGTCTTGGTTAGGTTTGTTTTCATGTGAATTCTTTATTTAAATGCCTCGACTTCCTTTTTTGTTTTCCTTCAAGACACAAGCATTTTACATTTACTCATGAATTTAATAGATTTACTAATAACTTCTATGCACAAATAGTATGTACTTGACAGTGTGTAACATCAATGAATGAAGTAGACGTGTCCCAGACTGACTGACATGCAATACCATAGGCAATACCAGATACCAATACATATGAAGACATTTGGGAGGGAACAGCATTGGACACAAGGAAAGAATACTGAAGAATACTATGGTGGTTCTTGACTACCAGGACTCAGTGATAAATACACAGACTGGTAACTTTGTTTCAATCACAATGCTACCAATTTTGTGAACTGAGGCAAGTTTATTTAAAGTAACAAATGCAAACCTCTCAGAGTTCAATTGTAGCCTAAATTACAATTTCTGAAGAGCTTCTTAATTCTTCTCTTCTTCAGTCATTAACCAATACATAATCTTAGCTGCACACCCCCCAAAACACTGCATAGCAAGTAGAAGAACGTAACTAAGACATCCTTATCTTGGCTTCTTAGTTCATTTACAAAGACCACTACTTATTGTAAGCTAATGCAAATATTTAAAGAAATTAAAAGAGTGTTTTTAGTTGGGCAATTTACCAAATAATAAGATAAAACCTGTTGTATGCAGGAACATTGAAGCTTATAGCAACGATGGTTAAGGCTGTTAAACATCTCTGGTTTTCATAAGGAAAGAATCATCAAATCAGAATGTGTAGTAATGTTGACAAGTACCTCAAACTTAATCCCACTTGAATTAATATATGTGAGGATTTCAGTTTAAACAAAAGTAAGCTCCAGGTTTATTTCACTTCTTTTCTATTTTATTGACATTTCTTTGAAGTTGTTCCTGTAAACATTCCCAGTCTCCAGAACTTTTTTCTCTTCTCTATTTCTGCATACTGAAAGTTCTCAAATAAAAGAGTACTTAAGGCTTCTAAGTAACACTTCTGCTGAACAGAGGATGAACTCTTTGAATTAATGTCAGAGATAATCTAAGTTTATATACAAATTTACTTCCATATATTAGTGTTAAAATACTGCATCCAGTAAGAAAAGAGAAAGTCTCCTATCTTACTCCACACTGGGGATGCTATAAGAAACTTCCATAGACAGAGTGGCTTATAAACATCAGAAATTTATTTCTGACAGTTTGGGAGGTGGGAAGTCCAAGATCAAGGCAATAGCAGATCAGTGTCTGGTTAGAGCCCTCTACAAGTTAGCACATTCTCACTATGTCCCCCTGTGGTAGAAGCTCTCTAGGCCTTCTTCACCAGTTCAGTAATCAGATTCATCGGGGCTCCACCCTTATGACCTAATCACATCCTGCTGTGGTTCTTGACTACACAGGAACCTAAGATACTAATCGCATCCTGATTACCCCCTCACCTCCTAATACCTTCACCTTGGGAGTTAGGATCGCAATGTGTAAATCTCGGGACATGCAAATATTCAGGACATGCAAATATTCAGGACGTGCAAAGCTCTTCTCAAATAGTATAAATATTTGGTCCCTCCCCCAAAAGGTCCTCTTCTCAAATATACCTGATAAGCATTAACAGAAGCACTTAGGCTTACATTCTTTATTTATATTAAAATCCAGGCCATACTGGGAAAGATGAAACTGTGGCATAAATTCCCAGAAAGGAGATCTAATAAGTTTGTTTTTACAGTAGCTCTCAACAGAATGATGAGTTTTATCTTAGTGGCCTTTTTAGAGTAACAGAGAATAAAGGAGAAAAGTAACACAGTTTTTGAAAAAGTTTATGACTAAGTTAAGTGAATAAAAATTGTTTTGTTAGGCAAAATCAAGAAACATTGAGAATTTGGGATGACACTATCTTTGATTATGTATTTTCAATATAAAATACATAATATGCAAATTTAAAACATGATGTATAAACAAAAATAAGTATGTAAACAGATAACTGACTAAATAAACCATCTAAGGCATGGTACGACAATTAAGAAAATATATTCAACTGATTATTGATAACTACAGTGTGTCGTTAGTGTGTTCTATAAAGTTGCTGAGAACAGTGAATTAGCAGATTGATTCATTGCTCCCAGGAAATTATAGTGTTAGGTTTTTGTAAGATTCTAGTCATAAAATTTTTATCAACCAATCAGTACATACCCTTGTTTTATGTGTGTTTCTATTTAAGGACACCTTAATATACTGGCAATTCATGAACACTAAACTCACAGCCAACAACGCTATGACTCATTCCTGAGTGAGGCTTATCTAACACACGTTTTACCAGTAAAGCACATCACAGCTGGTAATATCCATGTTAGGTGCTCTATGCGTGACTTAAAATGATCCAAAAAGCATGATGAATATTTATTTTTGGCTTGCACAAATTTTACTGAATAGGCAAATTTGCAAATAAAATCAAGTGTACATGAATTTTAGTGCTAGCTGGTGTGATACTTGGTCAATGGCCTAAGCTCAGTTTCTATATCTAGATTTAGGCAACTCTAAATCCTTATCAGTTTCAGATTTAGGGGGACTCAGGATCTCCAGCCTAAATTCAGTCACACAGCCTACCAGGTCCTCTAAATCTAACTTATCTGTCTAGGATTGTATCCTTCTTCATAGAAACTTACATACTTTTGATACTGTAAGGAGATCTTCATTTCCATCCACGAGACTTCATTAATTTTCATTCAAACACCTACATCTATCTATTCATCTGTTCTGTTTCCAAATATTAATCTTGAAGTCATTAGTGCTGGAAATATTGGCATCAGCAACAGGTAAGATCCTTATCCTTTGGTGATCAATCATATTTTAGTGAGACCATCATTAATACCATCACCTTGGGAATTAGGATCTCAAAGTATAAATTTCAGGGCATGCAAACATTCAGGCCAAAGCACTTCTTAAATAGTATAAATATTTGGTCCCTCCAAAAAGGTCCTCTCTTCAAAGATGCCCGATATTTATTAACAGAGATACTTAGGCTTATGTTCTTTACTTATATTAAAATCCAGGTCATACTGGGAAAGATGAAACTGTGGCATAAATTCCCAGAAAGGTATGAATTAAGGAGAAAGATATTCATACCCAGAAAGGTATGAATCTAATGTCACCATTGAGATCCTAACTCCCAAGGTGATAGTATTAGGAGGTAGGGGTAATTTAATTTTCTATTAAGCCAATATTGAAGTTCAGTTCCTGTAACTAATAATGAACATATAAACATATAAATGAACATATAAACATGTAAACAAACAGATTCATGGCATAAATGTTGTTGTAAATATAACAAAATAAAATGAAAGAGTGCTGGTTTAAAAATTGTAGGATAAGAAAATATTTTAAAGCATTGTTGGGCAAGTATTTTTAAAGAAGGCAATACACCAGGCACGGTAGTGCAGGCCTGTAATCTCAGCAACTCAGGAGGCTGGAGGCAGAAGGATCCCAACTTCAAGACCAGCCTCAGCAACTCAGTGAGGCCCTAAGCAACTTGGTGAAACTCTCTCAAAAACAACAACAACAAAAAAAAAATTAAAAGGGCTGGGTGTGAGGCTCAGTGGTAAAATGCTTCCATGTTCAATCCCTAGTATCAAAAAAAAAAAAAAAGCAATAAACAGAGATCTGAACGATGTGAGGAAGGAATAATAGCAAAGATCTAGAGGCAGGTAAATATCAGTGTCAAATGCCATGACATAGGAAGGTCCTGGATGCTGGCTGACATAGGAAGAGAAAGAAGGATGTTTAAGACTGCATTGCAGAGTATCTTGCTCCATAATTGAGTCTGGATTTTACTTTAGGTTTGATGTAAACCAGGAAGGTGATTGTAAGTAACGTCATCACCATCCACCTTAACTTGCAACAGCATCATTCTGGCCATTCTATAGAGAACAGGACAGGTAGGGAAAGAGTTGAGACCCGAAGTGCTCAGCAAGAGTTCCAAATGAAGAGGTGAGGACAAGGACAGAGTGGCAGCCAGAAATTGCTATGAAGTCATGATGTATGTGCATAATTTGAAGACAAAGCTAATGGAATATGCTCATAGTCTCACTAGGAGGCTTAAGGGGGAAAAAAAGTAGAATTAAGGATATTCTGTAGATAAATGGTGACACCAAATGCTGAGGTAGAACTCAGCTGAGCATGGGATGAATGCCTTATCTGACATCATTTCTATAATGAGAGAATTCCATAATCGAATGAGTTATATTGAAAGACAGCTAATGTCTTAATTCTTGAAATATCCCAAAATATAGGTAATATGACCATTGGGTAGATAATTTTTCAATAATCAGTTCCAGTTTGAATTGCAGGAGAAACTCTTTCATTCAATTTTAGTTCCTTGTTAACTAGTCTATCTAAACAATATTTGCAGTCCTATGTGTCCATGAAATAACAAAATTCAAATGTGAGTCAGATAATTTCAGAACCAAGATTTCCAAAAATGGAAAGTAGTTTCGAGCATAAAATACAACATCCTGATCAAAGCAGAGACATTATTTTTTCATGTTAAGAAATATATCTAGGAAACTAAATGACACATGGAAGGGGAAGAAGATAGAGAAAAGTACAAAAGAAATACAGAACACCAGCTTACAGAGAGTGTGTGGAGATCTCTGGGCTTATGAAAATGTCTAGATTCCCCCAAGGCTCCTGTTATAAATCCAGAGACTGGACCCTGATCATTGCCCTCGGTGGCAAGAACAACCTAGCTGTTGAAGGACGGGACCCTCTACTGTCTTTTGACAACTTACACTGTAAATCAAGCTTCTGATCAGCATAGAGAGACTCTCCAATCATGGCATATAGATCCAGCACCATCTCATTGTTGGTTTTCACTTCTTCACCTTGGTCTCTCTTTCTCAAGTGACTATTTGATTCAAACATGCTCTAGAGTCCCTGGAAAATTCCCCCATTTCTTATCTTCAAATCACTACTTCAGTTTCTCTTGTTCCACGAAACATTACACTTTAACCAGCTTGGGCCTAGTCATTTGAGACCCTGACTTTGATCCAGAATTCTGATTCATCTTTAGTTTATTCTACCCCTTAATCTAATAATAAAATGGTGCCTCTGATCTTCCTACAAATATTTTTTATGAAGTTGAAAACTCCTAAGAACAGTTGAATTTCTATATTTGATATAAACAATGATCTGTGTTAACAGGTAAAAAGCAAAAAAAAAAAAAAAAAAAAAGGATTTTTCTCACAACAACAACAACAAAAAGATTGCCTACCTTTTAACCTCTTAGAAGAGAAATAAAAGTTCTATTACTTAATGGACCCTCCAAGTAGTCTTGTGAAATAAGCCCACACATTTGTCAAAAAAAAAAAAAAAAAAAAAAAAAAACCCTATTGTCAGCACTTCAAACATCCTAATTCAAATAGCACAGTTAATGTAAACTCGCTTTAATCTTCTTAAAAAAGTCTGTAGCAAGAGGAAAGGGAGAAAAAATTTTTAAAAAACCTTTTGCTCTTGATGTTACATTTTATAGCTGATCCTTTGTTTCTTCCCTGATTAAAAGGCCGATTCTCTGTTTCTTTACTGGTTTAATGAGGATTCCCTTAAATGCCACTGTCATTTATGGAGAAGATGCCCCATGAAGGTCACCTAAAAGACTTTACCTCAAAGGCCTGAAAGGTCAGTCCGACATGGTAGCCCTCAGACACCGTGATTTTCCACACACACTCTTTCATCGGACGATAGTCATCAGGGTAATTAGGAGACTGAATCTGCCCTTCATTTCTGCGTATCTCACCTCCACAAATAGCTGAAGAAAGCAAAAATAAGTAAATAAATAGAACTAGACATGGCACTTCATTTTCATTTTCTATTAAGCCAATATTAAAGTTCAGTTCCTGTAACTAAGAACATAAAAACCAGGTTATAAAAAAAAATCAGAGTTGGCTGGTTATACTGTTGTGCAGATTTAGAGGGTAAAACATGTAGTTCTCTTAACTATAAACAGTAGATCACTATCAGTCAAGGAATATATAATTGTTGATCACTCTTATGTCACATTTTCACCCCTGAAAAAATAAATATGTTTTAAACTTATATAAGCCTTTAGGAATTTTATAAATACATTCTGTGTGAGTTTGTTCTATGATTCCCTGAACTGCTTTGACCGCAGGTAAAATAGCTCATCAGCAGACAAGCTTCACCCTGAACAGAACTGAATGGGCCTCTGGCAGTGAGCTAGCATCATGTGCTCAACATCTGTGGCTTCATCCAAATAATCCTCTTCACCACTGTGCAGTTAATCTTTAAAACAAAATGCTTCCATTCACTCAAAAGTTTAAGGGAAGCAAAAATCTTGTCTTGGAAATTACCTAAACTTCTATACAAGCAAGTGTCTCTGCTGTCTACCACATGGTGAGTAAGGGGCTGTTTTTAAAGCCAGGAAGCACAATGCTATCTTATTGTTTTAGAGAAGCATAGGACAAAGCATGCAATAAATTCTTCCTCGAATGCTGACTCTCTGATTTAGACAAAGCATGCTTTAGAAATGTGCACAATTACTTTCTGTGCAGTTTCCTATAATAGACTATTTCAGTAGTGCTGGGACCAAATACCTACAAAATCAGTACAAAGGAAAATAATGTCTTCATACTATTTTAACTGTATTGTGAAACAAATTTTAAGCACTTTGTGCCATTTGGGTTTTTTTCTCCCACACCTCTCTGAGCACATCTTGTTGTTACTATATCATTGATACAAGAAAACGGGCTGTTTTTAACAGTTTTAATGTCTGGAGAATTTTTTTATAAAAATAATTTGTGAATATTGAAATGCATGTTCAGAAAATATTATAACTTAAAACTTTTAAATATGGTAACAAAATCATTCTAATGAAATTGGGGGAAAAAAGGACACTTAGCTGAGAGATTTAAAATACATTCATTTCTTAACTTCAATGTGACTTGCCTTCATAGACAGCTGCAAACCCCTTTCCTACCCAGTTACTGCTGCTACGGAACTCAATCCACATTCTGCTGTCTGTAGAGGTAAGAACTTCAGGCACCTTGTCCCCACAGAATCTACCTAAAAGAAATGAAAGAATAAAGAGCACCAAATAAATATGATTATGTGTTCTACTTGCTTTCTACATTAGCTACAAACTATACATATAAAACCTAGTTTGGCTAGTATCTCTATCCATAGTGATCAGAGTCAGAATAATGCCTTAATATTTATTTAATAAAGGTTAATAAAACATTCTCTTCATATATATTTATAAACTATCAGACAACTGATGTCAGTGTTATCATCACATGCAGTAAGAAGAGCTAATTCAAAAAGGATATTTACAGATGGACCCATGATACATCAAGGTGAAAAACGGAAAAGACACAAGTCCCTCAAGACACTGGTTCAAGTCTCCATCTGGTCAATAAGCAGGAGAGTGACTTGCTGATAAATGTGCTCCTGGTCCAAACAGAAGTTGGTTCTCTAGCCAGGGTCAATGAGAACCCATCAGGACAATGTCTGGGATATTCCAAGGAACTTATTGCATACACTATCTCATTTATAAAGCTGCAATTGGTGGAATTATAGGCAGAATAACCAACATTACTATAAGACTTCAGTCTGAGATGTGACATTTTCTAATTGCATATCCAGAGGTAAAAAATAATGAAAAATAGATGCAATACTAACTATTGTTTCTTCCTTTCTTACACAACCCTTCCACAAAAATTCATTGCTTACTGTATGTCTACCTTGGGGTTCTAAGAACTCACATAATGGCAAATGGTTAAATGTGACAAAGCACATGAAATAATTCTATAAACACATGACATTTCTATCTACTTTTGTGTGCCTCTGAAAATGACATCATGCATAATTTTAATATGTGAAAACTGGTAGCCAATTTGAATAAAGCAAATTTATCAACAGTTAAAAGACAGAACAATATCTTCCCAATATTCAAAATGAATTAGAGGTACCTATAGTACATTTTAAGCTATAGTATGCATGAAAATTGCCAGGAAAATCTGTTAAAATGAATCTCTCACTCAGAGGATATGGACTTTTTTATAATTCCTGGGTTTTTATAATTCTTACACCTTTCCAGATGAATATAGGGCAAGCACTCTGAGGGCTAAAGTTTTACAAGAAATGGTGGAGAAATCTTTTCACATGAAGACCATATCACATTGAATTAGTCTGGTGGACATAACTCAAATTTTAGCTTCAGATTTGAGATGAGCTTAATGAAATGTTTCCTTTGGAATACACAAATGTATATAACATATGGCTTCATCTAGGCTAAGAGACTAAACGTACAAGACAATGTTTTCTTCAACCTGACTGTTCACATTACTTCAATTCTTCATTACTTCCCTATTTTTAAACATTTCCACAGATCTCCAACTTACTCAGGCTGCTGTCACTTTTAATCTAAGAGTGTCCATTCAGCAGGTTTTGGATGTTAAGAAAAAAGAAATATGTCTAGCACATCAACATGGCTAAACAAAGCTACTTCTAAAAATAAAAGAAGCCACAATCTTTAAAAAAAAAAAGGAAAAAAAGAAAATATCCACATATTAGCACACACGCTTATGACAGCTCTCACCTCTAAGTTAAACAGGGCAACAGTAAACCACCTCATATAAGTTAATAGTGTGGTCTGTGGATAAGCACTGGTGGCAGATTTACATGGGGACCAAATCTGGCTACAGCTAATGACACAAACTACAAGTGTTTTTGTTTTCCCAGCCTCAGAAAAACTCTTGGAAGAAAAACTAGCAACGTCTTGGCACAGGAAGAATCTATCAAATACCTGACAGAACACACACTACTGCTTCAGCAAACACAGAACACCCACAGAATATATTCACACCTGATCTTGTTTTTGTTTCATCAAAATGTTTGATCCTCAGCACCACATAAAAATAAAATAAAAATAGTATTGTGTCCACATACAACTAAAAAATAAATGTTTAAAAATTATGAATTAAAAAAATCACAATTATTAAGCTGAAAAAACAGGAACATACTGAAGAATTATCATTATAACCCTAATACATGAAAATTTATGCTCAAGTATTACGTTCAGATCCAAGTATCTACCTGTAGTTAAGTTAGTTTAAGTCAATTAATCAATGTATTCATTTCTCTGAGTATGTTTGGTATGGTTGGAAAAGGGTAGTCGGAATAAAAGCAATGTAGACTACATACATTTACACTCTAAGATGACGCTTGAGAGAACGCATGGTCTCTATACAGGACAGAATACTTGTGTAACCACATAGGAGATAAGTAAGCACTTACCAAGGAGAGGTGACTTCCTCCAGTACCCATCTCTTACTTCAATGTAGTCATACCAACACAAACTACTCTTGTATAGGTCCATTGTGGTAAAATTTAAGACAATCTGTAAGATGGAAGAAAACAACACACAAAGTAAAAATGATCGTAATTTGAATCCTGGAATGAAGGAACCCAAAACTACAGTGAAAAGGAACTTACAGTTATTTCTTTCTTTTTTCTATATTTTAATCACCCTAATATTTTTTTCTTAAATGCCCCCAAAACCATGTTTCCTCATTTTCATTAATAATTCCAATAGAAGCACAATGTTAATAACTAGAAGGAATTAAACATTTAGCAATTTACCCAACGTTCTGTAAAGTGAATTTGAACAATTAATTGCACAAATAAAACAAATCTTCATTTGAATAGTTTATTATGAATGTTCTATGATAAATGATTTAAACTATGAAGAATTCCAATTTTTTCATGAATATCTTCTTTTTAATAATTTATTTCAGAGACAGTCAGATATCTATAATTATGTTAAAAATAACCACCGGGTGCCATTTACCCAGAATGTAATGTCATTGTATATGTTGAAATGTTTAAATGCAGTCCTAGCATTTAAATGTATCCTTGAAACTATAATCAAACTCATATGTCACTACTCTTCTTTAGGTCCAAGAATACGTATTCAAAGCCTTTCAAGTTAGATTTTGTACATGACCTTTATTCTGTACTTTGTTTTGGAATGATGCTTTTTGTAAAGATAATTCAAGAGCAATTCTAGGAAAGATAATTTTTTCATTGCTTCATAAAAGTTCTTTACTTTTCAAAGAATTAACTCTTTATTTACTTGATTACAACAAAAGTACAATCAATCTAATGTTAGAAATGTGCTCAAATTAAGTAAAATTCATTTGGAAATCGTTTTGTGTGTTCAAAACTCATTCTAACTCGGTTCTGCTTAAATTATCTAAGATGCTTATGGCTCATAGTATACCTGTTTTTTTTCCTGTTGAAATTGAAATGGACTTTGCCCAAATGCAACAAATTATGAATATTTGAAATGTTTTTATTATAATATAATAATTTATAACAATATTCAAAGAGCTGAAAGAAAATGCTGGTTATAAAAAATCTAAAGGAATAATGAAAGAGATAAAATATATAATCAATAATTCTGAACCTATATTACAGAAAAATCCTACCAATACTGTGAAGAAAACATACTTCTTCCCTTTCTTAAACACAATATTTGACAAAAATTTAAGTACTAATTATGGCAAATCAATCCTAGCTTGCCTACTCCTTCCTAGTAATAAGACACAATATCACACAAAAAATTTCTCTTAGCATCTTATATCTAGGTGCACAGCTTCAATTGTTCATATAGATTAACATCTACTTTTTAATTAATGTACTAAGAAACAAAATTCTACCAAGGATGAAAAAATAAGAGATACTTTTAAAAATACAATACAGCATGCATTATTATTTAATTAGTACTTATTCAGTTGTTATTATTAGTGTTTAGTTTTAATAGTTATTTTTATCATTCCATTTTGAAGCTTCTCTATTTTTCCTTCAATTTTTCAGTTTCAAATATTTTCAAAGACTATTTGCAAAAATTTCCCAAATAGGGGCTAGGGCTGTAACTCAGTGGCAGACTGCTTGCCTAGCACATATGAGGCACTGAATTCGATCCTTAGCACCACATAAAAGTAAACAAAATAAAGGCATTCTGTACATTTATAACTACAGGAATTTTTTTTAATTCCCTAAGTATCCAAGGGTAAAGTACTGATCATTTTTTCTTTCTTTTTCAAAATCCTCAACACTTGATTGTCAAAACGCTTTAGTTTCTAAATTATTTTTTTCCAAGTTACCCAAATATTTTCTTCTCCCATGCAACCTCAGATTATTCTTGGGATACAGTGGGAGAATAATTTCTGGCTTTTTCACTTAACTGTGTGTTTACTTTAAGTCTGCTACAAATAGGGAATACCACCACTGCCTGATATTAAGTTTCATTCTGCATTCATATTTTCCCTATAGCAACCACCAGAGTTTCAACTCCATATGATCTCATTTGTTATCATAGCAGAGACAGCAAAAGTAGAATACAGACACACAAAAAAAGATAACCATGGATCATTTTGTGGCTCCTCTCTCTGCTTAAAGGGGAGTTTTTACAATGGTGTGGAAATAGTTTCAATTTCCTCCTGCATGAGAAAAAAAAATCTATGAATTGGATGTATATCATCAAATTTCATCCCAAATTAAAAACGACACGGTTGGATTGCTAATAGTTAATATTCGAATACTTAGAATAAACACACACAACACAACACACACACACACACAAACATACACACACACACACAGGAAAGGGGATAACTGAGCAGAAAAGTTTCCTATCTTGTTTTTAATCTTCTAGTTAAACTCCAAGCACCGTGGAGGAACAAAACTGGCCTGACACTAATATAAAACACAGAGTCCTTTAGAAGTAGAAAATGTAATAAAGATAGGTTTTCTAAAATCAAATCTCCCAGGCTCTGACTATAGAAGTAAAATTCTGGCCTTTGACTAAAATTGCCAGCAGAATTCATACTTGCATTACAAATCAAAAGCACTTGGAAAATATTTCATTGTTTCATATCATGCTGTTTTATGCAAACATATTGCATCTTTCAAAGAAAGATAAAATGAATACTACATAGCGCAATTATACAAATATTTTATTTCAGATGGTAAATATAAGTATCAAGTTAAAATTAACCATCTTCTCTTGGAACATGAGATGGAGGAGATTCAAAGAACAGTTCTCATGTTTCCTGTGATCTGTTAGGAGGAGTCTAGTTGCAATGTTAAAGTGATACAATTGCTGTTAAATTTGCTTATTAAAGACTTTGCTTCACAAAGCTGCAGAGTGAAGAATCTTGAAGAAAGACAGAGCAACAGCTCAAGAGACTGGATGTCTGCAAGTCTCCAGAGAAAAATGTAATCGACTAACTTTTGTCCGTGCAATTAAGACATTATCGATTACCTAAACAAAGTCCATGGGCACCATAAAATGGCCAATTACAATAACATTTACATCTTTAGAGCTGAGGAGAGGGAAGATGCAGACATTGCCAACCGGATTGATTATTAAATGGCTCTTTAAGAGAGAGAGAGATTAGATTCAAAAGCAACAAGATGAAATAGATTGTTAGGTTCCAGCCCAAAGAAACCTAAACAAGTCTAATAAACTTTCTGGATTGACTACAGCTTTTTCTCTCAGAAATAAGGCTCATGGGGAGTATATCAGAGATTGGAACAGGATCTGCCTGCAACCTACTTTTGTGAATAAAGTATTATTGCAACCATTCCTTTACTATATCAACCATGTCTGCTCTTGTACTACAATGCTAGAAATTAGTATTTGAACAAAGACTATCTACCCTCTAAAGGCAAAAATATTTACTCACCAGAAAAGTCTGTCAATACCTACAATAATTATTTGTTGTAATTAATTAATTAATAATTATCATGTATTAATTATACAATTAATCATAATGTATTATAACGTTTTAATTAATTAATAATTAATACATTAGATTTTTGTTCAGATATGAAATTGTATTGTAGTAAAGGGAGAAATAATTAACATCTCTTCATACAATTAAAGCTGTTCTGGAGTAGGAGTCAAAAGACCTTGGGTTCAAGTTCGAGCTTTTCAGTTTGCTGATTTACTTAAACTTTATATCAAATGAATCTTCTTACCATCTCAGATATCATCCTATCACTTTTGTCCCACCAAAATTAAATCCAATCACATGTAGAAAAATACACAGAGAATCCTAAAGCATTAAGATGTTCATTTAATGGTAAATATTCAGGCATCCATCACAACATACATTTTGAAAAAAAAAATATAAGAAATTTTCATCCAATTTCATGAAGTCAACTATTCTAGGAAACATAAAAATGTTACTTTAAAGTTTCACAGAAAAAAATAGTGATATTAAAATAAGGGAATCACAAAATTCATAGAATGTACAGAAGAACTTGGGGCTTTCCTTGAAGTTCCTGCCTTAGACAGATTATTTGCATAACCTCAAGTAGACCCTAGCCTAGTTGTGGAACCTTGGGTAGACCCAAATTTCAATCAGGAATTATTTATATCAGAGACAGAAACAAGAGCATGACTACGTTATTAAAACAATTTATTGCTTAAACTCATGTGATAATATTTTGATTTTGATTTTTGTCATTACCTACTAGTCACCAAAATAATTCCTTATACCTCTCCTTAATCCCCACTCCTACCACATATCTAGTTAGTTCCTAAATGCACACCCCTGCCTAGAAGCTTTTACATAGCCAATGATGTAATGGCTTCCAATGGTTTTTAGCTTCACTTGTCTCCAGCATGTTCTACACTTATAGTCACATGAATCTCAGTAAAGTCTGGATCCCATCAACGCCTGGTTATCAAAAACTCCTGAGTCCAAATCCATCTTTTCCACTTTCTCTTTCACAATCTCCAACACATAAGATTTATTCTACTCATTCCTAACTTCTTGCAGTTGTGCCCTGAAAAAGCATCCCAGTTTTAACTTATGTTCCCCAAGGTGTGCTGAAGTCTACCTGCATTCCACATTCGCTTTCCCTGTACCTTGAAACTCTTTACAACCCCTCGTCTTCCAACTCTTCAGTCATGCTAGAATCTCCCAATAAGATCTGAGCTCTCTTCAGAACCCAAGTTGCATCTTGCTTTCTTCAGTAATTTTTCATCCTAGCAATTACATGACTATTATTAATTTGTGAGATTCTTGATAGCAAGGATTTATTTGGCACATCAGAAAAATACATCTTTTTAAAAAAAGAATCAAAATTTTTATGCATCAGAAAATATTTATCTATTTTATTAGAATCAAAAATGTATATGGTGATTGTTGGATTTACATGGTGCCTTTGGCAATATAAATTATTGTGAATTGGCCCCATAGATATAAAACATAGATGAGGGATCAAAAAGAAATGTTTGCAAAAAGAAAAGAGTCAAAGGACAGCCTTTAAATGAGTTGGACAGAAAATAGAGAATATATTAGTTCTATTCAAGATATAAGCAAT